AGGTCCGAATTAAGAGTTTGGCCGTAGGGGAGCAGCTCATAGTAGATAATTCCCTGCCAATCCCACCAAATACACAGCAAAATCTTCCTGACCGTCAACCCTGGCTTGGCCACCGTTTGCGCCGGCTCATCGCGATTCGACGGTCGTTTTCGCTTGACATCGTAATTGACCCACTTTTCATCACCAATAACCATCCGCTTCAGAAATGGATCGATTTTGTTGCGATTTAGCAGCGATTCGCAGATGGAAATTCGATCCATGAGGTTTTTTTGCGTTAACTCGTGTGGCACCCACACATCGAGCTTCTTTTTGAATCCAGCCTCATTTAAATGGTTCCAAACGGTTTTTTGTGCAATGTTTAGCTCCTTGGCAATCGAAACGGTGCTTACATGACGGTCGGACTCGACGATTTCCATTATTTTATCAACATTTTCGACAATTGGCCTCCCGGAGCGTGGTGCATCTTTGACATCAAAATTACCGGAACTGAATCGACGAAACCAAAATTGCGCGTGATTGGCTCTTACAGTATCAGGGCCATAAACACTATTCACATTTTTAGCCGTCTGGCTTGCGTTTTCGCTTTTATCGAAGAAAAACTATAAAATATGGCATATTTTCTCTTTGCTGGTGTCCATCTTTGACGCGCGCTCAAACAATACTGAGTCCAGTAATCACAAAACTGTCTGAGAGGTTTTTTTAGTACGAAATCTTATCTTTCTAACGCCATCTGGCGTAATCCGATCGGACTTATACAACGCGAGATACAGATTAGTAAAGCCCTCTATTGGAAAAATTATGGGTTACTTTTTACTAGACCTAATATATGTTTTTAGGGGTACCTGTTATGTTTCAGTTCCTCTTTAAAAACCTTCCTCCATAGGTATATGTTTTATACGCGTGCGTGAACGAAAGAGGACGCAAGGACACAAAACAGAATGCATCTTTTTCTACGCGCACCTTAACCCCTCATTCTTCAACGATTGGTCTAGATATATTACCTCTTGTCCACAATTTTGCTTTAAGACGTAAGTAATAAGCAAATTAACTAACCACGATCGATTATTTTTCTAACAAATGACCGTGATTGATCAATTTGAATAGTGTTTACGTACTTAATATAAGTTTGTGGACAAAGAATTAAGTGAAGTCTACAATGAGAATTTAAAGGTCTGTTCGTTTTCGCTGCACCGTTGAACTAGTGCAATAAGTTGAAGCAAGACAAGTATATGTTTTTTCACTTCAACTTATTGCATTAGTTCAGCGGTGCAGCGAAAACGAACAGACCTTAAGGCGTAAGCCTGAAAAAATTGACCAATCCATTGAGAATGTGTCGAACGAGTTTGTCGGATAGAGAATTTTTAGAGTCTCTAATATTTTCTCTAGATATAATACCATCCTCAATGAGCGAACGTCGATGATTCTCAACATCGATAATTCGGCCTATCTCTACTTGCCAGCCTCCTCCCCGTACCACACACAGTGACGTTCCGTCTATCGGTTGATCGCATCCACTGCGCGTTGCTATTCGAATAGACGGAACGTTTCTGGATGTGTGTGTAATGGAGGGGAAAAACGCTGGCAAACTCGAAAACGCACGATTGCTTCAACCACGTTCAGCCATATTTGTCATATTCCGCCGCTGGTGTGTGAACATCAGTTAGGTGGAATCGTATATATCTTGCTGAACAACCAACGAAACTTGTACGGAAGCAGGATATAATATGCATGAGAGACCGATAAAAGAAAAGTACAGTTGTCATTACAAAGCAAAGGGGCACATATTCCACGTGGGACTCGCGACGCGTCGTGTCATACGCGTGTGATGTAGCATATACCGGCGAAAAGTTTGTTGTTATTGAGACTCGAGTGGCCCCGCCAAAACTCTGTAGTGTCGCTGAACGTGACTCGTTGTCGTGTTGGCGAGATTCGTGAACGTTATCGCCGGAATTTGCATTGAGTTTACGAGTTACGCGCTGTGTGCGCGTCCTGACTGACGCGTGAAGCAGCTTCACTAGCTCTCAATATTTCGTCGGCGTGGACTTTATCGTATAAGCTCCTGGAACAAATGTGATTATTATTTTATTTTTATTACACGATACAGATCAATTAAGAAAAATGGTACCTCTAGGCCCATCGCCGGGCCATCAAGCGTCCGTTGGTAATTCCACAGGTGCAGCCGCCAGTGGTACAAAAAGCAACACAATAGTGGTGAGTTATATGTTTGAATTATATTAAGAAAGTTTAGATTTTTGGAACCATTTAAAAGTACTAAAATTGATTATTTATTAGTTCAGTTAGAATTTATCAATAATACTTAGAAAGTATATTAATGTTTATCAGTGGTATAAACAGTGGAAAAGGAGATAGAGAAAGAAAAAAATCCTTTAAAGCTAAATTTGTTTTGGATGCTTTTGTGCTGAAAGCATCCAAAACAAATCCATTCCATCTTTCTTTAGCATGTGATGAACATTAAAGATAGAATGATGCTTTCAGCACAAAAGCGTCTAAAATGAGCTTAAAGAGAAAAAGGTTAGGAAGTATTAATAACCTGTATCTTGGTTTCTTTTCAGAAGCCTAATTATACATTAAAATATACTTTAGCTGGTCATACCAAGGCAGTTTCATCTGTAAAATTTAGTCCAAATGGAGAATGGTTGGCAAGCTCCGGTAAATAATCTTTATATATTTTAGCTTTTTTGCAGTAATTTATCTATAGTATAATAATATATTTTTAATTATTAGCTGCGGATAAACTTATCAAAATTTGGGGATCCTACGATGGAAAATTTGAGAAGACCATATCCGGCCACAAACTTGGTATTTCGGATGTAGCATGGTCTAGTGACAGTAGGTTGTTAGTATCAGGCTCTGATGATAAAACTTTAAAAATATGGGAATTGAGCTCTGTAAGTGAAATTTGTCTCAAAATGATTGAAAATAGACACATTGTATTTTTTCTTACACACACATATAAAATTCAATATTTTAATCTTTGAATCCTAATTTATAGGGGAAATGTTTAAAAACATTGAAAGGACATAGTAATTACGTCTTCTGTTGTAATTTTAACCCACAATCCAACCTCATAGTTTCTGGTTCTGTAAGTAACTGAAGTATTATTTTGATTACACACATAATAATATTCTAAGTTTAAATATTTTAATATAAATACCTAGTAGTTATTATAATTTCTCTAAACATTTCAATTTTTTTTCGTATATATAGTTTTATGTAGTTACATGCAATGGTTTTAAGCAGTTTAAAAAGTATATTTGTTTTAAATGAAAATTCTGGTAATTACATTTGAGAGATGGTCGAAGTATAAGTGCATATATAACTGTTCTGTAATATTTTTTTAATGTCAAAATGTAGAATCTACAATGTTATATATGACTCTAAACATTTTAAATACAGGAAAATTCTAAATATAAAGAAATATTTGTTTTCAGTTCGATGAGAGTGTACGTATTTGGGATGTTAGGACAGGAAAATGTCTTAAAACTTTACCAGCCCATTCAGATCCAGTGAGTGCAGTACATTTCAATAGGGATGGTTCCTTAATCGTGTCGAGTAGTTACGATGGATTATGGTCAGTATCACAACTCTAATTAATTTTACAATTGAGATAATTTGTGAAATCCTCAAAAATTTATAAATACAACAAAACAATAAAACTTAGTTTTATTAATTTGTACAAAAAAAGAGTTATTTATACGAGTTTATTTAAAACATTTTTAAACTTTGTAACAATGCACTCAATAATATTCGTGCGTTAAATAATATTGATGTAGACTTATAGGCTCGCTTAAAAAAATAACGATATTAAGAGTCGCATGATTTCGCATATTGCAGTCGAATTTGGGACACGGCGTCAGGACAATGCCTAAAAACATTGATCGACGACGATAATCCGCCAGTGTCGTTTGTTAAGTTTTCGCCGAATGGGAAGTACATCTTAGCAGCTACGTTAGATAACACGTTGAAACTCTGGGACTATAGTAAAGGGAAGTGCTTAAAAACCTACACTGGCCACAAGAACGAAAAATATTGCATCTTTGCGAATTTCTCTGTAACAGGTGGCAAGGTATATAGCTTACCAGACTAATTCTCTAATAGTGTAGTAGTGTAATAAACAGTGAAAATTACTTAAAATAATTGGAAATTTACATAATATTCTTAATGTAGTGGATCGTATCCGGTTCTGAAGATAACATGGTGTACATTTGGAATCTACAGACGAAGGAGATTGTACAGAAGCTACAAGGTCACACAGGTAAGCATATGAATTTAACAATCTTGCAAAAATGTTGAGCAATATATGGATACATAAACGTGGTGGTTTTAACGTATATATGTTTGCAGATGTGGTACTTTGTACAACTTGTCACCCTACGGATAATATCATAGCTTCTGCGGCGCTTGAAAACGACAAAACCATTAAACTTTGGAAAAGTGATACATAATAAAGACTTGAATATTGTTCTCATATGAGCTCTTCCTGTACAAATCGTGCTACTACTTTGCTGGGAAATTCTAAGGTGTAATAGCTCCTGTAAACAGGATACGATAACAAACAAAATGATTTACCAATTTGTGCTTGTCTATAAAAATGAAAGATTGATTTATTATCGCGTTGTTTCCCTGTTGCATTTTTGTCTGTAGGAGCTATTACATCGTGCAGATACATACGTACAAAAGTAACTAGATACGAAACACACATACAAAATGCAGACGTGTTATTTTATTATCAACGATGCTAGATTTTTTCTAGCCTAGGATGAAATATTTGATTTTTATTTTAGCGATTTACTTTCAAAGAAAAGGAATGTCTTTAAGAACCCATTATCATTTCTTATGAAGAAATTTATTTAAAAAATATTTTGTGTAAATATATATATATATATAATACGTATGTAAAATGTTATATATATATAACTATGTAACAATGATATATATAATATTCTTATTTAAATCTTAAACATTTATTTTTGTGTTTTAGGGAATTTTAACGTATGTTATATAATACCATATTTAAATTTTTGGCATCATAGCCAAGGTTGCCATTTGGAGTACATACGGCCCAAGACATTGAGGTCCGTCGCTTGATCCAATAAACAGTTCACCTGAAATACAATTAATAATACTACTTCAACAAAAAGAAATTTTAGAAAACTATAAGAAATGTTAATACATATGGCGATCACACATAAATAATATATCATGTATAAGAAGTTTCATAATTCACATAATATAAAGTAATTATTTTAATTAATTACTAATTAGTAGAAATTTTAATAGTATGTCAATATATGCGCAGTAATTTTTATCAGAAAATTTTATTTCATAATTAATATCGTTATTATTTACACTATAATGGTGGCAACAGGAGTGAAATAATACCTGTTCGGTAGGTGTCAAACAGTCGTTTTGCACAGCTCCCCGTACTTTCATAGACTCATTGCCGATGATAATAGCTCGACATTTTGTAAAGTACTCATCATTGTGCGCTTCTTTTAATTGCTTTACCGTGATAAGTGATGGATGGATCCCGTTTAATTTCTTCTCAACCGTCATGATATTTCTTTTAAATGACCGTATCGAGTCTGTAAATTATCCAGATACTATATATTATCTCGTATTGATAAATTTTTATGATACATTATCTTTCGAAGATTATAAAATATTTTTTCATTTGATTTTTAATATAAAATATAATTATTCTATAATGATCATTTATAATTTATATATGTGCGTGTTATAATATATAAATTTATGTTTTATAAGTCAATTTAAAAATGATTATTCTACTTCTATCAAATTACTTTTTAGTAACAGATTAATCGGCCAACTTGGAGACGTTTCCTTAACAAAAATGTTGAAACACTAAATTGAAACACTAGACTAGGAAACCAAATTGATGATTGAGCACTAAACCTAGAATGTCAAAGTTGGACAATTACAAAAAAAACGATTACTTTCCTTGAAATTTTTGGTAAGAAAAAATTGTTTCCTAATTGTTCAGAAAATCTGCTATTAAAGAATAGTATAATAGAAAAGTGTTTTCTAAAATTTATAAAGAATAGATTTGACACGTATACAAGCAATTGGTTACAGCAACTTTTATTCATTGGATCACCTCAGATAGATTACCTGTATCGGTATCTTCACCATTGATGTTTGAACGATAAACAGGCTTGTGAACGAAGATATCCATGCAAGCGAGGATCGGGCCTTTGTCATCTCGCAGGGCTCGCATCACGTGAGTCATGATTGTGCTCAAGAGATGCTTTTCGGTGAAGGGCTGTAGTAACTCCAGTATCTGCGGCGTCAAACGGAACGGCACGAGTTCCGGCACTGGGCCGCATATGCCGCTGCCGAAAACGTAGCCGAAATCGATGCCGAGGCATCGTCCAGAGCCCACGACCACCAAGGTGTTCTGCAAGTGGCGGTCACCGACGCCCGAGATCCAATGCGCTGCGCACATCGTTGCGTAACTTGCCACGAAGTTACGTCGCAACGTCACGAAGCTCTCCGGTGACGGGCTGATCACAGTGAAGGCGTCACGTAGAGCGCTTTTCTTGGTCTTGGCGATCAACTGCTCCATCTTCGTCTTGACTTCCGTCTGATTGTACCTGACCGTGGCTGCCTTGTACTGATCGCTGAGCCGTCTGCAGGAAGGCGCCGCGTTCTCTATCCACCTCATATAGTTCTTGAGAATATTCTCGCACTGATTGCTCTCCGTCTTCGACAGCGTGAACCACACCAGATCCTCCAGGGATTTCGTATCTTCGATCCATTGTATGAGGCCGAACGATCTCGACAAAGGTATCACCTGTGACGAAGAAATTGGAAAAATATAGCTTACGTGAAACAGTCAAGTGATATACAATCTGTACCTCGTACGTGTCTATCATTAGCCGTCTTTGCCTGCAAGCGGTGTCGTTGGACAGCGTCCTGTTCATGGTGGCGTACAGCTGCTGCAGGCCGTGATCGATCGTCAGATCCTCGCCGAACTTCACCAGAAACTTGTACTCGCGCCCGTTCTCGCCGATCATGCTGATGCGAATCGGCTTGCGCAGCGAACGCATCACATCCACGATCGGGTCTATCCTCGCGATCTTGGCGTGGTAACGCGGCATGGGTTCTCGGTTGCCGCTGTACTGCCCAGGTATCTCGATATCGCCGCCCACATACGCGTGCAAGAACGGGCTGTACTCCTTGAGCCTCTTCTTGCTGGCGCGACTCTTGAGAGACTCGTCCAACAAATCCTTGATGCGCTGGATACTCGCTCGCGTGGCGTCGCAATCCGCTGGATTCAACGCCCTTATCATGCTCTCGTACTTGGCGATCACGTTGTACACGCTGCCCGGTCGAGGGCCCGCCGCAGGTCTATAGACTTTGCTCAACAACGAGGCGAGGGCGTTTCCTCCCTCGGACAGCTGCTTCGTCGCCTCATTTAGGTGATACTTCAGATAGAGCTCCGGCTGCGCCACGTACTGTATCGCTGACAGAAACTGCCGGACCTCGGCCACCTTGCCCCGCAGAAGCTCACGGATCCTTTGGGTCGCACGATCGCGCGACAGAGCGGGGTTCTTCTCCACCGCCAAGTGGTACGTGTAGGCGACCGCGTCGGGATACTTCTCGGCGAGCCTCTCGACGATGGGTACGACCAGGAACGCGATCGACGTGCCCAGGTGGGAGAACAGCAGGTCCCGCCAGCGCAGGAAGAGCCACGGCTGCGGCTTGACGGACTTTCCTTGGAATATTTGTTGCGCCGTGTCGTTTCGCAGCAGCCATTCGGGACGCAAGAGGCAGGGGAAGTAGTGAGTAGCCTCGTGATAATCGTGGTACATGGCCTGCAACGTGGCGAACACGAAATCCAGGAAGATCTCGTTCTTCTCCGCCTCGCTCGTGACCCTGCCGTCCGTCAGCCGGCTGTAGCAGTGTCTGGTCAAGGCGTAATAGTGCTCACCGATGCTGCGGCTGGCCGCCGTCACCGTTGACGCTTTGTCACTGCAGGACCTTAGTTTGTTCAGGCCGTACTGCAGCAGGAGCTCTCTCACGCCGGCCAGGTTGTCCGACTCTTCCGCGCCTATGTCTCGGAGGATCCCGCCTTCTTCGTGGCCGACCGTCAGCAACGCTTTGGCGAAGACGTCGCTCTCTCTGGTCAGACGCTCGATCGTCCAGGCCAGAGCGCCGATGTGTTCCCTCACAGCGATACTCGTGTTGACGCCGACGTCGTCATTCAGCAACCCATGCGAGTCACTCCAGGAGCCGGCGTAGTGGCTCATCTTCTCGCGCGCGTCCGCCTCGAGATTGGCGCACATGCACTTGATCTTCGCCTCGAGCAGCATCCGCCGAGGCTGCAGCTCGGCCGAGACGTTCCGCAGGTAATTCGAGTGCTTTTTCGCGATATACCGGTGCTTCTGTTTCAACGCCGCGTCGATGATGCCCAGCCACATATGGTGATTCGCCTGACGTATCCGTATTCTGATATCTTGGGCGCGTCCAACGCAGTCCTCGTCTGCAATGTTATCCAGCGTATAGTCGAACAGCATCGAAGAATATCTTCGATAAGCGGCTAACTTGTTCCATTGTACGAGATTGTCTCGCGTCGTCGGTGCTTTCGCCGCCCAGTAGTTCAGCACGGTGGCCATCTTGTCCAAGTAATCCGCGTTGTCGGTGTACCGGAGGACCTTCAACGTGGCGTCCAAGTCGCTCATGAGCTGCAGCTTCCGTAATTTGCGCATCCCCAGCTCGGTGCTGAGCGAGTTCAACCTGACCCATTGCTCTCCCGTCTTGTCCAGAAGATCGTAGAGCAGATCGCCCGTTTTCCTCGGTGGACCCTTCAGCAGGAACACGACCAGGTTCTCGCCTACCTGCGATTTGACGTGCTCCATTCGGCTGGGATCGTTTATCCACGATTCGATCATTCGCAGATCATCGTCACTGGTCTCCCAGCTTCTGGGGTCGTCCGCCAACATTTGCACGTACGCGTCGCACATGCGTGTAATCATCCAGTCTCGGCACGGGCTGTTCCAGACGCTTGTCAAGTCGCCGTTAGCCTGGATCACGAGCTCGTTGATCTTTGACCAGTCGCACAGGTCGTCCATCGTCCCGAACAATCCTTCCACGCAGTACTCGTGCAACGACGGTACAACCTTCGTCGACTCGTAAGCCCTTTCGAACGCCTTCCTCGCGCGCGACCAGTCGCCACTCGCATTCGCGACAGTCGCTTCCTGAAAAATGAAACGGTCAGAATACAGTTCCATATATTACTTCAATTATAGAGAGAAACAATTTCTCTGAGTTCAATCTCATCTCCTCATTAACGTATTAATGTATTAGTTAATCAACGTAGTTAATATAACATATATTATATTTTGAGAAACACAAATCCTGAAAGACTTCTATAACCGTGAGCCGTAGGAATGGCTATTGAATTTTTTTTCCCACAATATACAGAAATTATAATAATTAATATTCAATGAATTGGATAAGTTAAATCATCATATTTTAACATTGATTACTACGAGCTGAATGAAAGGTTTTTAGGAGAGATTTACCTGTACGTTCTTGTCATAGGATTGCTCACGAAAGATACTTAAGACGGAGTCGACGTCGTCGAGTGATTTGTAGAGAGACGCCAACTGCGCCCACTTATCAATTCTCGCCCGATCGTTGTCGTCTGTGTCATCCTCGTTTCTTCTTTTCATCTTCTTTTCTGAGGGGGGCGACAAGTCAACGAGATAGCTCGCGTCAGGCCGTAAACTGCGTTCCAGGAGAAGAACACCGAGAGCATTCAAGCCGTTCCTCTTAGAGACTCTTACTATGTCGCACGAGTCGAAATCGGTGACGTTCAATTTCAGCAACGTCTCCAAAATCACGGCGTTGAAAGCGCTGTCCTTATCGCCATCGTGTAAGATTCGCTTCAGACTTGTGACAACGCTTCGATGGAAATTATCGGAATTTTCCTTGTCCACGGTTTCTTCGATCAAGGAGCAGAACAAGAACACAGCGACGTCTTTGCGAATTAATCCGTCCAATTTGATCAGCTGTTGAAGCGGCTTAATCAGACTCGAGTGAGGTATCTGGATGTCGGGGAAATCTCCGATCCTGTAATCCCTGAAATAAAAAAGAAGAAGAAAGACTTCAATATCTTATTATATTATGATCATATTCCGAAATAGCATTTCAATTATAAATATTACTTTTATCGTTATTCCTTTTGTTAATATTTTTATTTTTACTATTATTTCAATTATCATTACATTTTATATTATTCCTCCGCATGCTTTCAGATCTGAAACAGCCTCTCACCTGGTTAGACTCGCGCTGTTTCTCTGCTTGATGTTCTCCTGCTTGATCATCTCTTGCCATTCCAAGTTCTTCTGTATGTGCTGATTGCGAATCTTTTCCCCGACGTCCGGCGACTTCAGAAATCTCGGGAATCTCCTGACGGTCGAAGTCGGCCGCGACTGTCTCGAAGATGTCGTTGGCCGATCGAATGTGTCATTGAGTAACGAGTTATCGTCCATGTTTGCAGCTTCATCGTCGTCGATCATAGTCGGTTCGAACTGCAGATCCTGCGTGGCGCGAAGTCTCAGAGCTTCATGAGACGGATCGTAAGTTCCGTAATTGTTGTCGACGCTCAGGGTGCAGCTCATCTGCGAGGCGAGCGAGTTGACGAACATCGGCGTGGCAAGGCTGAGGTTCGGCCTGCGCCAGCGCACAGCGATCCTGTAGTCCTCGTAGGTGCAATTGTGCAGGGGAACATCGAACACCTTCTCGGTGTAGTCCCTGGACAGGCTGGCTAACTGCAGCATCAGCAGTGGCACGAGCAGCGTGTACGCGTCCTCCTCTTTGAGGCTCATACGCGCATTCGTCTTCGTCCTGAGATCCAGCACGGCGATCAGTCGTTCCTTGGAGCGATCCGTCCCCAAATCAGTCTCCTCCGTCCAAAAGCGCAGCACGCGCGCCTGCAATTCCTGCGAAGGATCCAGCAACGCGGCCAGCAGGTTCCGCGTGCTCTCCGACCGCAGAGTCGTCGCGCTCTCGTCATCCGAGTCCGCGGAGTACTTCTTGTAGACGCTCATGAGCACGTCGTAGGCCAGCCCTCGGTGTTCCATAGAATTATCCTCGATATACGGAATCACCAGTTTCACGTAGGGCAGCAGGTCCGCGGGCGAGATCGCCGTGTCGACTGACTCGCGGACGATTCGTAGCGCTATCGTCTCGCAAAACGACTCTCGGTTCGCCAGCACGCTCTGCAGCTCTACGCGATGCAGGTTGCTCACGATGCTTGCCGCGTTGCGGAGCTGCGGTATCGACATCGCGAATACCTCCAGACAGTAGGCCCGATTTTTTTCCGCGGACGTGATATCGATCACGACGGTGATGTAGTCCACGGCCAGGTCGGGATATGTTCTACACAGGACGACGATGCGCTTCAACTGTTTCTCGGTGTAAATCGACCGTTGCGTGGTCCTCGGCGGCGAGCTGAGGATATCGAAGATCCTTTGTTTCACGTTCTCTCTCCTCGCGGTGTCCTTTTGCGACGAGTGTCAGATTAAACGAACGAATAATGTTACTCGAAGTCAAAGTGGATAAAATTTACATTTTTTAAGCCAAAATTGCTTTATTTTACCCACCGTCTTTTACAAAGTTTTCAACATTCCTAAAATTTTGACTAACCACGAAGGCCAAATCGCGCGGTTGTTGCAGCAACGGATTATTTTTTTATTATTGTGGGAGGACATAACGCGTTGGAAAAATTCTATAAATTGTCCAATATTTTAACGATCACCTTACCCGCTGCAATCTCAGGTGCCATCCGAGACATTCGCAGCATCGTAGTACATCCTCCTCGGCTGCGTTCCAGTCGCGCAATGGTCTCAGCAGAAGATCAACAATGTCCTCTGTCAGATACTCGTCGATGATCTCGCGCGCCATTTCGTCGTCGTCGCGGAGCAATCTTACAATGAGATCTATCGCGGCTTCCTGTGCGGAGCCCATCTTCCCGACTAGGCAGGCGATCGATTCCGTCAAGCAACCGCGCCACTTCTTCGCCATCGTATGGATCAGCCCGAGATTGTAGTTGTACACGCGCTTGTTGCTCGTTCGTCGTCTGAGTACCTTGCCGACGAGCGCGTTGAACAGATTCCGAATTTTCCCGCTGTCCGTGATCTCGTCGTCTGTGACGCCGTCCCGCCAAGCCGTCAATACCTCTAGAACGTCGGTGACGATGTAATTGAGATCGTCCGTTCTCAAGTAATCAGCGACCGCCTGCGCGATCCCCGACAGCATGAACTTGGCGTACGGTTTCAACGCGGTGTCGGCCAGGTTACAGACGATCTTCATCATGAAGAGTCGGATATTGCGAGGAACGTCCTTCTGCATGCTCGAAACGAAGGACTTGAGCCACTTGGGCTCTGCTAACTCCATCTCGGAAACTTTCGGAAGGCCGCTGAACCGTCGCAGTATGCCGCAGATGCTCGGCATGCACTCGTGCTCGTTGAAATCGTCGCTCTCCAGCACCACGTTCATCGTGCTCCGTTCCCACTTGAAACCCCTAACCGAACTCGGTAGCAAGGCGCATTTATTGAAGTCGTAGGCGTTGATATCCTCGCTCAGGGAGCAGGACGACAGATCGTAACTGTGAACGTGCGAGTATCCACGTCGGCTGCTCGTTTCTCCCGTCCGGCCATCGTCAATGGCGGGTGACCTGATGTTGACGGTGGTCTCACGGTTCTTCGGATACTTGTCGAAAGTCTGGCTGAGATGGTAATGTTTGTCGCAGTCGATGATGTTCCTCCAGATGAAAGAATTACGCTGGTGATTTTCGCCGAACGCCAGGTTGTAGTATTTCACCTCCTCCTTCAGACTCACCACCGCCAGGCTGAAATTGTACGCGGAGCAGTGCAGCAGACGCACGTTCTCGCGACACGCCGAAACGATTTTCAGCTCCCGCACTGTCATCGCGTCCGTCAACAGACTCTGAAGAAGTTCCCGGCCGGTCTGGACGTTATCGAGACCGGATTTCTGCACGATCGCGCCGTCCGCGTCGATCAACTTGCTCTCCTCCAGCCGGGTGCACATGATCGCCAGCAGCTGGTAGCAGCCGATCTTCGACACGAGCAGAACGTCCGCGTTGCTGATGTCTTTGTGGCTGATCGCGCGCAGCTCGCGGATGTTACGCTCGAAGAAGCGCTCGATCGTGGGCGTGTCGCAACAATCGAAGGCCGGTAAGAGGAACTCTCGCAGAACGTCGAGTCTCTCCTGCACGTTCACGTTCTGGATGAACCTCCGATACGTCATTTCCAGGGAGCAGAGTACGCGCTCCGCGGCGTTGGGCGTCTCCCGGCGGTAGTACTCGCGCAGATGCTCCTTCAGCTTGTCGCTGAAGAGGGATTTGCCGGCGCCGGCGGCGAAATTAATCAGGTAGTCGAGCACGACGACCGAACAGGTGACGGAGAGCAGCGTGAGCAGCGTCTCGAAGCAGTTGACCACCTTCATGGCGTTCCCCGTCATGTCGTTTGAGAGCTGCGGGCACAGAGACTCCCGGTCGTCCTTCAGCGTGTACAGGTACATTAGGTAGATCTTGTCTTCCAAGCGGTCGGTCGCGTCCGTCAGGCACACGAGAAAGTTCCGCAAGATCTGCGTCTTGTACTCGATGTCACAGCTCTCGACCACCTGCTGTACTATCCAATTGCGCAGCTCGCTGTATGAGGGATTCCGCTTGATCTCCGTCGGCTCGGGCACGAGACGCACTGCGATACTGTAAATACTGATCAGTCTCTCCGTGTGGCTGCCGGCCGTGGCGCTCTTCAGACACGCGAATCGCCGGAGAATCACGTCCACCGTGGCGTTCACGTGTTCCCGCAGCGCGCGCCTGTGTCGTTTCAGATGCAGCAGCATATCCTCGGTCCATTTCAGCAGGAACGCGGGACTGTCGCTCGACAGCTTGTCGAGGACGAACGTAACATCGTCCGCGTTCGTCAACACGTACGTGAATATCACGTTGCTGAACCTGTTCAGAAAGTACTCGCCGTGCGTGATTTTCGCGAGGTCTGCGCCGATTATCAAAGTGTCGTTTGACATCAGCCTCACTAATATCTCGATCGTCGACGCCTGAAGGAAAGAGACAATCGTCATTACGTAACGTCGATAAGTTATGAGCGATAAGTTAAATAATTACACAAGTCGATTAATTAATTCGTACCTCGTGTCGCAGAAGTTGCAATTTCATCAGAGCTCGCAGATATTCGAACATCTGCGCGCTCAAATCGCTGCAAATCAACTCTCTGTTTTCGCTCACCAGAAAGTTGAAAATCTGTTCGATCGTGTCCGTGCGATTTGCGAAAGCACTTATCTCCTGTATATTTACGATGGGGATTAACGTTTAGCGTGAAGATGTGTATAGAAATCAGCTTCGCAATATCATAAAATGATTCCATTATTTATTCGATAGAAGTGATTTAATTCAGAAAATGCAATTTTAACTCCAATTTTGTTGCACAGGTCAAAGTTAATTACAAGCTACTCTGTACATGTACAATTTGTTAATTTATTATTATACTTTACCGGAATCGTTCGGTCGAGCCAATTACATCGCTCGAGAATCATCAGTCCGTTAACATGCCGGATCTGTTCGTCGTAAGAGTCCCTCAGTACTAGGTAGTGTAAATTCAAAAGCGGCGGAACGCACTCCCGAACGACATTCGACAGACACCTCCTGAAGTTGTGCGCTAAAATGTCGTTGAACCGTGAGCTCATGGCATTTAACAAAGTCTCCAAGACATGCGGTAATTCGTCCGTTATTTGGATGTTCTTGACGTCAAAGCCGACCGGATGCATCACGCACTCAATCGTCAATGCGAACAACGACTCGTTCCACAGCGATTCCGGCAGAACATCGACGATCTGAGAAGAACAAAGGAAATAGAGGCGTTAGCTGCATTATTAGTTTTCTCAATCGACGTTGCACAACTAATACTCGCTTAAATAACTTATTAAGTTAACTTACGTCGTTGACGTTTAGCAGCACTTGTGCGAAATTCAACGTGGCCATCACAGTTTTGCACTGCAGCGTTTGTAGCTCGTCGAACTCTCTGAACTTCGTCGTCGCTGCGATTCTGACTGTTTGCAGGAACTGACGAGAAAATTGACGAATGCAAGCGAAGATTGCGTGCTCCTGCGTGTGTACCGGAAAAAGATTTTCTATCGGCAGCAGCTGTTTCTCTATCAACCACGTGTAGTAGTCCAAAGCCTTCAACAGATTTTTTATGTGAATGGTCGAAATATCCTCCTCGTTTGGCTTCAGACCACTCAGAATTATGTTGTTCAATCGGTCCATCTTGTAAGTCTCGACGAAAGTCCGCGTCACCTCCTGCGCGGACCCATCGACTGTGTATTGCGAGATGTTAACATACAGCTCCTTACACGTGGCTCGGCAATGTTCGTCGAGGACGCCGCATTGCGACAGCAGCCAGTAGAGAGCGTGTGTCAATGTCGCATCGTCGAAATCGTGCGGTTTCCTCCTGTCCCGGGCGGCCACGTTCAGGACGTCTGCCTTAATTCCCATTACCTTTTTTTTTTTTAATTTGAAATATATATATATATATTTAATGAAATATTTATAAATATTTGTTCAATGTGACACAGAGGAAAGGATGATCGAGATGAAGTCGTGGCTCATTCACTCACCTTCTCAATGTGGTTGAGCGCTTTCGTGATCGATGGGTTCTCGCATCCGTCCATGCTGCGAATGAAACAGTAGAACATCTCCAGCCAGTAGGTTGACACTATATCTTCGTCCTCGCGCAGGATCACGTACAGATGATTGAACGCCACAGCGGCAGCCACGCGTTTGCGCGCAGACGGATGTAGAGCGAAGTGATTGATCTTGCGTACGACCTGCTGCACGTTCGACTGCATGTCTCGTTCGTGCGACGCCTGTTTGATGGACCAGGACGTGAATTCGGCCAGGCATAAGCCGGCGAACTCGCGCAACGACGAATTCGCATCATCGCACAGGCTATCGAAGAGGCAGTCGAGCACGAGCGACGTCACAGACGATAGCAACATGATTCGCGAGCTCAGCCAGTGCATCAGCTGCAGCGTGAATGGTCGGAAGAGATCCCGTACCACCTCGTCGGTGTCGCAACCGAGCGCGAGCAGAGCCGGACACAACGGCGCGTATAATGTTACGATCGAGTCTTCCAGGTCAGACAGGCGTCGCACCGTCGAACCGATCACTAATGTGACCATCGAATGCAACACTTCGCACGCGGCGATTCTGGTGCGTCTGTCGCTTGAGCCGCGCGCCAGCGTGATCACGCGCGGCAGCATCCGGTCAAAGTGGAGCGTCAGACGCGCATCCGGCAGCAATAAGACATACCTAAGAAGCAAAATAACGTCACGTTATCAATGAATAATACAAGGTGGATAATTCGTTTCAAATTATTCGATCTTTTTAACTTTAGTTTTAACTGACTAACCCTAATTTTCTATTCTCACCTGAGCAGATCCTTTCGGTCCCAGGACGTGCCGGTGTTGAGCGAGCGCTCGTGCAAGAAGCTGGACAGTACGTCGTAATCGAGTGAGCCGAGGAACAGTAGTATTTGCCGTTGGAAGTTGCGCAATGTGCACTCGGTGTCGATCAGGCCTATCCGCTTCAGTCTCGCCTTCTTCGTCGTTGTTAGCTCCTGCGATATCTCGACGGCGCTCTCCGTGCTGCGCAAGTACGACTCCAGGTGGGGCACGATTTCGAGCAGGGACTCGTTCGTACGTTCGTCTTCCCGCGACCGTCGGTTACCTGTCCAGACTTTCAGAGCGGCGAGCGCGCAGTACGCGAGTTCCAGATCGCTCAGACCCATGGTAAAGGCGATTCTGAAAGCCGGAATCAGACGCGCGGATGGCACGACGTAGGAGATCCCGGGCGCATCCAGAACGAGGTAGAGGCACGCGATCAGTAGCTCATTGGAGAACGTGGGAAGCAGCTCGAGGGTGTTCGCCAAGTAGCTGGATACCACCAGCTTAATCTCGCTCTCCTCCTTCTCGGTGGTGCGGTCGAAGATCTTCAGAGCGACCCGCGCCAGCTTGTAGAAGCCGGATATCAGCGGATACTTGTACGACAGTCTGACGATCTCGCGCAGAAAATGAGGTATGACGTCGGTGTAGAGGGACGCGGCCGACGCGTCCATCACGTCGACGTAGAGGTCCACGAGGTTCATGAAGACACGGAAGTCCGTCTGATTCACAGCGCTCTGCGTGAACGCCACGTCGGACAGCGCGGTGTCCTCATACTGCTGCTTCACGCGTATGTCTAGCCAGCTGATCAGCGTCGCACACACGTTCGTCATGGTTTCCGCTACCAGCTGCACGGTAGAATAGCGCTCGTACTTCTCGACGTTCAGCAACCGCGTCCACAACGACAGGTAGTTCTTGTAGGATATCGGCGGCCGCTGCAGATTCCACAGTTCCCGCTGTAGCTCCGCATCGAGGGCCAACGTGTGTGAACAACTCCATGCGACTCCGTCGTAAACTGAAACAGCGATGAGAAATAACGTGATAACAATGATGATTTGATAGAAAAGATTTAACGTTATACAGGACATTTTATACGATCAATTCAATCTCTTTTTGTCAAAATTAAATTTACTTACTCGTACTATCGAGATACCGTTGTAGCAAATTTCTGTCAGTGGACGCGAGATTGCAGATAACGCTGATTAATGACGAAATGGCGAGCGCGTTGCTGGATACCTCCAAGTCGGGAAATCTTTTGATCGTGTATGTACTGAGTTTTATGAGGACGTTTATTTTTTCGGTTGTAACGTCGGACACGTGACACAGCATTTTAGAAAGCGCCTCCTGATAGCAACATACGTTCTCTACGTTCGCCGAATTGCTCCGCTCACTTGGGAAGAAAAGATTCAAATGATTATTCCTGATTTTACTCCTTCGATCTCAAAGAGCAAGTTCGACGTGAAATTACAGGAATTATAGATTATTGTAGAATTGTAATTGCAGTTGTAATACAAGGAATATATATTTAAAATATTCTTATCGCTACCTGAAACAAAGAGGGAGAGCACAGTTGGTAATAGTCGAATACATATTCCTGACGTGGTATTCGGGTAGATGCGTTTTGCATGCTGCAACTATCCGACTGTATCCGAAGATGGTTAGCCGCAACGTGATTAAGTCCAAATTAGCAGTTGCGAATACCTCGTAAAACTTGTCCAGAAAATACTAAAAGCAAAAATATCTCAGTAGAATAGATGCACAGTACATTTTTAACGGAAAGAATATTTTTTAACGTATTGTGTGAGCGTAAAAGCTTTATTCAAGCTATGAAAGATAGAAAGCCATATTCCGTAACCATCCATCGACAACTGTCGGCTGGAGAGTACGCCGATATAACTCATGGCAAAAAAGCTGCGTAACGACACATACCAATCCGATAGTTGTCGGTAGACGATTACGAAATAGCACCCCAGATCATTGTTGCTACACAGTTTCATATTGATCTTGCTCACCAGTAACACATTTTCGCTTTCTTCTCTGCTTTGTTCCTCGAGAATCTCTCCAATAAATCTGTAAAATGTTTTCAGCGTGTGCTGTCCACGATCCGAAGTAGCTTTCTCGCATGATAAACGTCGAAGAAATCTGTGCCAATACTGATAATCAGGATATAGTAAGCTTCGGAAACATTTCATATGACGATCTAGAAGCTCGATCGCTGATTTTAACACAATTATGTTGTTCAAGTTGCTAACAGATTTTATCCATCCATATGAGTCTTGGAAAAATTTATCTTTTATTTCGTACGGTGGCTCAGCATTATCTAACATATCCGAAATAGCGTTGAAGTACATGTGGAAGCTATTACTTGGTTGCGCCAAACCACCAGGAACAAACTGCAAGTAAAATTACACGGGTACAATTATTATGCAGCTCGTCTATTCGAGATAAATGATGAGTTAATTAGAGACTAATTTACAAATTTATATATGACACATTCAAGATGTCCTGTACATAGTTACGTGATATTATGTATGTAATATGTATATAATAACCTTGTGAAAACAATAATGGTACATGAGACAATAAGTTGCAAATAAAATCTTTTCGAAGATACAAGTCTCAAATTTAAAAAGGTATCAAATTTAAATTTGAAGATCCTGGTTATATCACAAACACAAGATTGTATCGCAATATTCTCTCCATACCTATTAATAAAATGCATTTCTCAATATTGTTATTATTCACCTTACCTCTTCCAATGCATCAGCACGCAAACGCTTGAAAATTGCATCCACATATACCCGTGATAAAAGAACGCTTTCATTGTGTTTAATTATTTTACCAAGCACACAGTATATAAGTCTTCTTTCTGCAATAAAAAATGTTTGTAATGAATGCCAGCATTCATGATTTTAATTAAATTATTATGTTTATACTAACCCTTTATGGTATTTACACGAAATCCATGTAGTACAAATTGCTTTAATATTCTATCTAGCTTTAAATCCTGATTACTAAATCGTTCTATCAATTTTATAAAGGTATGACAAGCAACTTTCTGGATGTAGAAATTACACTTTTTACACAGCACCATATAACAAATATCCTATAAAATATTATAACATATATTAATCACTGTTCATCAAGAACAGAACAAAGTTTTATTTGTAAAAATTCTAGGATTTATTCTTAAAAAAACAATCCCTTTTTTAAAAATATTTTAAGGAATTTTTCAATTACGAAAAATGTTATCAAGCTTAACTTTTAATTTAATTTTATATAGATAAGATAAATTATATAATCTTATCAAGTTACATTTATATTCTACTGATATTTATTGTATTGTATGTAAATAATATTTTATAGTACCTTAATTTGACAAATATATTGTTTAAAACATGAGACCTGGTAAAAATTTTCAATGAGTAAACCAAGGAACTGAAAACTTTTAATAAATACATTATCAGAATCTTTTCTTGAGACAAAATCTGGATTGTTAAATGCTGAGTCAAGAAAACATAATAAACTATCTTTTCCAAGTATGCCATCCACCAGAAATTCTAGAAACACACAGATTATAATCATATATAGATGTCATTGTATAATTTGACGAAAGAAATTATGAATATACATATGGCAGTTACAAAAATAAATATACATAATATTCTTTCAAGCTCAGAAACAAAAAGATAAAAATTTGTGCCAAATTCTTTTAATAAAATTTATATAGAGTAGCCTTGTTTATTAGAAATTGCAAAACCTTGATGCATAGAATAAACCTTAAATATCTTTACAATACATATATAGTTATATTCTTAATCCACTCATCATCCGCTGTATATAAAATATAGCTAAATTGTAGCACAATTGAAAGAAAGATGTTCCATAATAAAAATTACTCAAAATTCTGATTTATAAACTTAACGAATTTATATACTTTCTACTTTTTATTGTAACAGTCATATGTGTGTCACAATTTCTGAAGTGACAAACGTGCTTCACTTAAGTTAATGTAGCTATTTAAACATTTTTCAGTATTTTACCAAGATATTCGGTTGAAACGATTTGGAGTTGTTCCTTGGCATCCTTTTCCAAAATGTTCGTCAAGGCTTCACAGTTTCCAGTAGACAAGGCTCCTCTAAACCTTGTCAAAAATATTTCACACGAATTCATCCTTCTGCTTGTAAACTTGATAGACCAGTGAACTGACAATTAGTGAAAACATTAGATGGCGATCATCATAGTCTGTTTGTATAGGCTTCGAAAAGGCTATTTTTACACGGGAAGAGTTATGTCATTGGTGGTTAAAGTGCTTTGAAGTGTCAAATGGACGTTGCTACGTGTAGTTAAAAGGAACAAACCTATGTATTTTCAGTGTGCTCAACAAGAAGACTTAAGTTGGTAGCTCTGTGGTCCAGCTGTGACTATTTAATAAACATATCGATGACGGTGTTGATTCGAGGAGCGTTCTTACTCTTTTTGTCACAAAATCGAATAGCGAAAAATAGCTTTGAGGCAAAAAGTGGAGATTTTCAGAGAGAGAGAGAAAAGAAGATAGGTTTTACATAGAAAAGTACACTCGACGTCACGAATAACCACGCGTCTGGGCCGAACGCATTACGATAAAATCTTGATCCGCAGGATGGTACGGATTGTTTTACCGGCCGTGAAGACGAAGCCGAGGCGATCTCAAATATGAGATTTCTGATTACAAGTACCGGCCGAGCGGCGGATCTCGCGCGTCAATCAAAAGCGCACGTAGAGAACCGGTTTTCTCACTCCTCTTCAGCTGATGTGGCGCACGTTACCACCTAGTGATTTTCCGCGTCTGGCCGTCCAGGCATACCACCGACACGATAACTCTCGCATGCGCTCCATTCCAAAAAAAAACCATCAGCCATATTGGTGTGTTGTATCGCTGTCCTCAGTAATTTCGAAGAGTAAAGGTATTTTTCTCGATTGTTCGTTCGCTACTGATCTCGGCGCGACGGCCGCGTTGGATGCGCTCGGCGATCGTTCTTGCGCAACCACAAGTCCCGATCGCGGCCCACCGAACGAGCGTATATGCTCTGACGTTCGTCACCAAAAAAAGTTTGGTTAATGTTGCCACCTTGGCCTCGCGCGGAGAGAGAGAGAGAGAGACTGCTCCGCTCGCGCGAATATGTCGCGAGCGCGTGCTGTCTCACGCGACAATGCGGCACCACCTCGCGATCGTTCGTCTTCGGAATTCCCCCGGATCTCTTCCTCTCCCAGCTGCGTATAATTAACGAGGCTACTGTCTGTTGTAGCACCACCTTCCTTCGTCCGTCACTTCTGCAGCGTTTCCCCTCACGTGCCTCGCGTGTTTGTTCACCGAAAATCATAATCGCCGATCGCGCGATATTCCCTTCGAGCAACAGGTACGGATATCGTCCGCGATATCGGCATTCTTTCGTCGCTGCGATGTTTTCTATCCGCGTCTCTCTGTATTCGAATATAACAGATGACGGGTCTTTCTTCACTGTACAATGGAGATCTTCCTATCTATTATCGATTCTTTGCAGGAAATCGTGTTACTGTTACCTCATTTCCCACGCACCGTTGATTTCGGCTTCGTTTTTCAAGCGTTTACCTTTGGAAAATTTCTCTCCCGTAACATACTGTCTAATGTCTGGTAGAGACGAACGAGCTTGGAGCATTTATATCGCACAATATGTAACATCTTTGTGGATTCCCTTAATATTTATCTTCCTAGCATAGCTTATCTACGACCATGTCATGTTAAACGATTGATGTTATCTTTTCAGCAGATAGTGCATCATGACGGATTCCATGAAATTTGGTCCAGAATGGTGTGTAATATAAATAGAAACTAGAATTAGTTTGGATATTTAAAATCTGAGAAAGAGACATTTTATCGAACAATCTGATATACAGGTTGCGCAACATGTCAGGTGACAGTTGCAATACGGGTGGAGGTGGTGGAGGGACCACAACTTTGAGTACTCCTCGGTATCAACTGGCAGAGTATAGATACGGTCGCGAAGAGATGTTGGCTCTATACGATCGCAATCATAAACCTCCTGAGACATTGCCAACTTATTCAGGACTGTATGTGGAGAAAGCTCAACTTCCGTTAGCTCTTATACAGATGACGGAGGATGAAGCGGTAACTATACATCTAAGCCTTAATCCCGAATGTATTAATCCACATTAAATTTATTTTTCCACTTTCAACACAACTTTTCTTAACGTTACGTTAATAAATATACGTAGAGGAGGGAGAAGAAAATATGATGTAAAATAATGTTTATAGGTACTTGTTTTTTTTTTTTCCATAGTTATACATTTATTCCCGCAGTACCTAACGATGATATGTGTAACTATTTTCAATTTTCAATCGTCAATTTAACGGTCTTTCTTAAGGACAATAGGTATATTTGTTCGATGATGTGTCTATATTATGGTTGAATACTTTCACAAGGTAGCGGCTTTATTTTATTCACTCATGATAATGAAGACAAGGGAACTATTATGCCGTTAAGCTATTGTTCTGTCCTATATTGAGAACTATGTCATCAACTTGTTCTAAAAATATAACACTGGAGCCCTTGTGCCGGTTCTTAATTTCACGCATCGGTTTCTCCTCTTTTCCTTTACATAATCGGTAATACGATTGACTAAGATATGAAATTGAGAATGATTTTAAGAAACGCATTATACGAACGGATCATTTCCGCAAATAAAACATTTATGTTGAAACGGATCATCTTAGGATAAATTTTATATTCACAATACCACTGAATGCTCGCGTGTATTTTTGCAGCGTATGTGGAACGGAGGAATAGCCAATATCGGTGGCCGGGGAAGAGGTAGTAGCGTGGATCGCGGAGGACGTGGTAGAAGTGGAAGAGGAAACATGTATTCCTCTCACTATTCACGTGGAGTTGGTTTCGACGACTCCGGCGATGGGATACGAATCGAGGGCCAATCATTCCAGGTGCGAAGCCTTCTGGGCAGAAATCTCATTGTTTAATCTTTTATATGTCATAAGTATTATTTGCAGGGGAGAAATAGGCCGTTCGATAGATCTCAGAGCGAACGTGGTTGGTCAGAAAGAAACGGTGCTTCGGATCCGGGAGAATGGAACGGCTCAAGTAGTCCTCGAAAAGAACTCAGTCGCGGAACTAGCGGTAGCTCTCTCATGGAGGGTAACTGGCGACGTCATCGCGGAGAGGACGAAGACGGCTGGCGCAAGTGGGGTAAATATTATTCTATATGTTCCTTCTGCGCTGACAGTTATATAAGAAAAGAACGTTTTTACCTCAGGAAGAAACAGTTGGCGCGAAGGTGGCAGCATGGACAGGGACAGGCTGGATCGAAACGAGGGCGACGGAGATGAAAGCAGAAGCGTGCCGACAAGATGGGAACATCGTGGAAACCACAGATCTTCCCATGACTCGGCTCACCATGCACCATCTCGCACCGCTCGTACTTGGGAATCGAATCATCACGATAACCATGACAATCTGCCTGAATGGTGAGCGATCGATCATCGTTTCCGCTAATCGTTACTACGTTACGAATATTTCAGGGCGACGGAGAATCCGAGCGAGAGTGGCGGCAGTTTCGATGCTTCGGGCGCGTTTCACGGTGGCGGCATGTATTCAGATGATGACGACGACGGTGTGGCAGGTGCTTCCCAACATGGCAGAACTCGGCGTGTGTCGGAAGGCAGTGCTTCTAACATAGTGAAGTCTAGTAACAAGCCATTAGCTTTCGTCACGGGTTCTGTCCAATCGTTGAATCGCCATACAAACAATACGGCCGGTACGTTAGCAAGCAAGGAACGACCAAAAACTTTGCACCCGCTCGAGGACAAGGACGATCCTGCCGGGAAGGAGAGGAGGTGTAACTCGCCGGTTAAACCAGCCGTTGTGTTGTCGACGGAAGGTATTCCCGCGAAGACATCCTTAACGACTTCCTCGGATCTCTTGCAGAAGAAGACTGTCGGACCCACGGATAAAGTTGAGAGCGAGAAGTCGAATCCGGGACCTAGCAAGTCTCCGACCGAAGCTCACAAGAAGGAGAACTCGCAGGCGGATGTGAAAACGGAGCCGATAAGTGCCAATCGACAGGTTCTGCACACGGAGCCGGCCAAGGCCGTGGTACACAACACGGGGAACTCTAATGTCAGGCAGAGAGTGGAGGACGATCTGGATAGAATGAAGGAGGAGGCCGATGCTCTGGTGGCTAAGTTGATGGACGAGGAAAGCCACAAAGAGAAGAGCGCTAGCGTACCGCCCGCAATCGGTAGCCAACCTCCCGCAGTCTCCGCTACAGACAGCCAGGAAAAATGGTTTTACCGTGATCCACAGGGCGAAGTTCAGGGACCATTTTTAGCTAGCGAAATGGCCGAATGGTGCAAAGCTGGTTACTTTACCGCGGGATTGTTGGTGAGAAGAACATGCGACGAGAGGTACTACACGCTCGGTGATCTCATCAAAATGTGCGGTAGAGTGCCTTTCACGCCCGGGCCGTCGATACCTCCGCTAAAGGTATGGCGATCACTCTTTTATACGTATGAAAATCGGTGAAATGAAACATCTCTCTCTCTCTCTCTCTCTCTGCGTACAGTTAGCAGAGCAGGTGATACCGCCTGTTCCCAGCACTGTGCCGGCTGGAATGGCTGCTGCTGCTGGTGCTTTGTCGAAGACGGGAATAGAGGATCCGTTGCTGCTGCTACAGTATCAGCAGATGCAGTTGTTGCAGAACCAGCTATTGCTGAGGCAGATGAAGACATCGGCGATAGCGAAGTTGTCGCAATCGGAACACTGGGCGACGCTGAGCCCCGTCGAGCAGAATCAATTGATTTTGCAATACGTTATACAGGACTCGGATTTCCCGGAAGTACCGATCACGACAAATCCGTTTGTGCCTCACCTCGCGTCTCAAGCGGCGACCAATCCTGTCATGCAACTGTTCACTCAAATGCAGCAGGTAACGTGTCGGCATTGTGTTGCTCTCAACGTTTCCGTCGACTGCTTCTTCGGTACGTCGTCATTTATTTAACGTAGCGATATTGCAGGCAAAGGCACAACCGGAGACTCATTTGCCGACAAATCCGCATACAACCGCACCGGCTACGGTGGACCCCATACAACAATTGATTCAACAAATGGGCGGCATACAGAATTTGCCTACTGTTCAACAATCGAACATCGCTCAAACTCCTGCGCCAGCGCAGGAGGATAATCCGATCAAATCTCTGTTACGCCAGCTCAATGTCAACGCGAACGGTCATCCGCAAACGTCTCATATGGACACCGTATGGCCGCAACCACCACCGCAAATGGCTCCTCAGTTTAACGCACAGAATTGGCTAGCGCAGGTGTGTTACATCGTATCAACCATATTTATGTAAAATGAGGCATGTGCGTATTTTTATCGTCAAATATGGTGCATTTTGTTTACTTGTATTAATATCCCATCTTGCAGGTTGGACCCATTCCGGCAATGCCACCTGGTCAGTTACCTAGTTCTTTGTGGGACCTGCATGCTAAAGAAATAAAAACGGAGCAACAGATACTGGTAAATCACCTTTCATCGTCACTTTTCGAGCAGTCTCGGAATAATCACTGTGTCGTTCTTCTACTTTAGGAAGAACAAAATCTTAAGTTACAGGAGGATAGGAAAAAAGAGGAGCTGAGAAAGCAAGAGGAACTGCAGCGTCAGGCGGAAGAGGAGAGTGCCAAGAGAAAGCAAGAGGAACAAGCTAGACAAGTGGAGGAAGCGAAACGTAAAGACGAGGAAAGAAAGAGAAAGGAGGAGGAAAAGAAACGAAAAGAAGAGGAGAAACGTAAGCAAGAGGAGGAACAAAAGAAGAGGGAGGAAAAGAAACGCAAGGAGGAGGAAAAGAAGCGCGAAGAGAAGAGAAAGCAGGAGGAGGAAAATTTGAAGAAGAAGCAGGAAGAGGAAAAGAGAAAGCGAGAAGAACTTAGGAAGCAGGAGGAGAAGCAGAAGAAGGAAGAGGAGAAGAAGAAGAAATTGGAGGAAGAGCAGAAAAAGCAAGAAGAAGAAAGACTCAGGTAAGGACCAGTAGAATCGCGCGCGTAAATGCCGCGACGAGCAAAATAATCAAAGGAATTTATATTTGTACGTAGAAAAGAAGCAGAGGCACGACGACAGGCCGAAGCAGAAGAGCAGGCGCGCCGCGCGGAACAACGGCGTAGAGAGGCCGAGGCGTTACGTAAGCTTCAAGAAAAGAGCAAGGCACCTTGGGCTCAGGCCCCGCGTGCTCCCGCTCCTGCAGCTCACGCATCACTCGCCGAAATCCAGAGACTCGAGAGAGAGAAGAAAGCGGTGAATACCTCTCTTGATTACGTATATATACTCAGGGTTTTCCCTCTATCTATGAAAACTCCTGCGAACTTCGCAGGAAGAGCAACGGCTGCAGCAATTGATGCAGCAGCAGTTGGCACAACAGAAAGCGGTGGAGGCAGCTCAGGAAGCTTCGGCGGCCGACTCGTCCAAGAGGTTGCAATTCAAATGGGCGGAGAAAGCTATCGCTGCCAATAAACCTCTCCTGGTGAAGAGTCTCGCGCAGATTCAGCAGGAGGAGCAGGAACGTATCGCCAAGGTAAAGGTACTTATTGCTTCTCAAATATATGAGCGACAATTCGAACATTGACGACGGCGATAAAACATCCGATATATTATTTCCAGCAACAAGAAAGAGAGAGGCAAGAGAAAGCCGGCCAAAAGGAGTCTGCGAGTGTGCTGCAGAATGCTGGAATATGGGGCACGGCGTCGCAATGCCTGAATTGGGCAAATTCGAGCACGTCGAGCCAGGCATGGTCCAACAATTCAGGCGCTACTGGATTCTGGGACGATCCCACACCGGTCAGATCGAGCACAACTACGAAGCAACCGGTTAAACAGGTCGTTAATACGAAATCCGCTCCTAGCCAGCAGCAGCAGCAGAATAACAAAGCGTCCAAGAGTAAGAACAAGAGAGAAGAGGAGTTAGTGAAGAAGCTATTTGAACAGAACACTGCCAAGACCGATGAGTTTACGCAATGGTGTAATAAAGCGCTGAGTGGTTTACAGGCGTCTGTGGATAGTACGTGTCACTGGCATACTGAATTCGTTTTGCAAATTTCCTCGCTTCCTTACATGCCTCTACCGTTTGCAGTCCCTACGTTCGTTGGATTCCTGCGAGACATCGAATCGGCGTACGAAGTTAAGGAGTACGTTCGCGTCTACCTCGGCGATACCAAGCAGAGTACGGAATTCGCTAAGCAGTTCCTCGAGAAGCGTAGCAAGTGGCGATCGGCGCAACGTCCTCAGGCGCAAGCGGACGATCTGTGCAAACCAGCGCCCGCAGTCAATCCGAATGCGCCTACGGAGTTTCAAGAAGTGAAGGTATATAATAGCCTTCATGGCTGTCGGCTTGACAACACAGAATCGTTCACGGAATATGTAACGTTAAATATTCACTAAACAAATAATCTTTCTCATTTGTTCAGGGAAAATCGAAGAAACCAAAGAAAGGAAAGATGTACAAAGTGGACAACAGGATACTTGGCTTCAGCGTAACCGCGGCCCCCGACCGTATCAATGTAGGTGATCGCGATTATGGCGAGGGCGTCTGAACTGAGTCACGCCAGTTTAACCTCGCGGAAATGATGCTACGCTCGATTCATCAAACGGTTTGTTATTTATTTATCATACATGCTAAGAGGCGCCCGTGGGCTGCCTCTTAATGCGTATAAAGGCTTTTTACGATCCAATGCGTAAAAGAAGAGCTCATCCCTTCTCAGAGTCGATCATCTTCGCCGATGGTCTTCGGAGCGTGGCGTTATTTTCTTACGGAACAAAACTGAGAAATACACACCGACAAAAAGGCTTCACTGTACATATTACTCAAAAAAGAAGAATATATCGTAAGAGAAAAGAAAATGAAGAAAAAGAGGACGGACTCATTTTTTCCTATGTAAGCGACGATTAGGGTTGAAAACTTTTATAACATTTCATCGTCATCGTCATTTAAGATACGCAAGAAAAAGAAAAATATGCCGACCGATAATAATCATGCACGTGGAGACATGGCAGTCAATAGCAATATGTGTATGTAAAGGTGTTCAACGGAAAAAAAAAAAAGAATAACGTTAAAGTGTGCTTGTGAAAATTGCGGGAAGCATCGTCTCTCTCTCTCTGAGTCAAGCACAATTATTAATGATTAAATATGGTGCGTCAGTACTTCTCTTACTGATCGTGCTTAATGCAACGTGAATCCTATGGATTTTCGCTTCGTCGTTAATACGCGTTGAGGAGATTTGCTTTATATTATTACTCGTAATAGACTTTTGCAAATGATTTACATTTCAAGCACAGTAAGAATCTTCCCCACTTTTTAATATCCTTTACGCCGTCATAATACTTGTAGTAACGATATTCTAAGCAGAACCTTAAGCACACGCGGTAGTAGTAAACACAATTAAGATCACGAATGATTTGTGTATGCATTGAAAATTCGAATATTCTTACATCTCTGAAGATAGAATGGGGAGGGGGGGTGCAATATGTACGAAATGCATTTCATAACGGACGGGCAGCAAGAGAGAAAGAGGGAGGAAGAGAGAAGAAGGCGATTTGACGTACTTTCTTGATATTACGAGGACATTGTTAAAGATAAAACTAGTGGTTCCAGCATAGCATCCTTCATTAGAAATTCTTTGGTTTTGCTGTTCTATACCGTAGAAATGACAGTAGCGATTTAAGGTAATATTCGTAATGTGTATTACTAACTCCACGGAATATCGGCATACATGAAATCCTGACACACTGATTACTGCATGTGCCTATGTGTGGATCTCACTGTCGTCGGCATAGCCTTCTTGTACACTGTGGTCGATCTAACAATAAAGCTGAAGTACGAAACATCTATGGCAGGTTCAATTGATGCAAATTTAAACGCGCAGGAAAGCAGTATCTTTTGTAAAACTTTACTCGTAACTCTGTAAATGTCGTAGCTGGAAACTCGCAAATATTTTTTTTCCTCATTTTAGCGTTTTTAAAAACATTTACATCATTTTTCTTAATTGGACTGAATATGCATTGACAACAGCACGACACGGATGCTCGATCGTAAACGTGGAATGTTGTGACAGATCTGACCGCTCGTAATATAATGGTTGTTAACCAAGGTTCGTTGATCTCCTCTTAAAATTAACGTCTTTATCTTAATGAATTTAATTAAGATTAATTCAAGGGAAGATCATAGAGCCTTATATGAAAGATTTATGTATAAATAAGTTAATGTACAGAAATGCCGTGATGATTAAACAAATTGATTAAAGTGATGATTGAAGAACGGATAACTGATATTGTATTAATATTCTATTATTGTATCTAACGTACGTCATAATAAAATAAATATTATTATATTTTCTATCTGGCTTTCTTATTGTTTTACAAATTATTTTTCTGTATCGAAATTGAAATGTTCTCTAATGATGAACGCGCCATACACGGTGATACGAAGTTTTAGTATGTATTATATGTTGATTTTAATTTTTTACCCTTTTTTTTTGCATGTTGATATATGTTTCCAGGCGACTTTTAAGATAAATTTGTACTTATGCTCTGTATGCGAATGACGAGACTGTTGTGAATGAAAGTACGACAGATTTGTAATGAAATCGCGTTTGGAATTATTTTATCGGTTTTTGCGGGAAAGAAAGAAAATACTTTGAAGATATAACTTGTGGAAAATTAAACAAAATATGACAATTGCACTATCGTGCAGAATTAGATGAACACGAATTAATCTTTCTATTCTACACATAACTGTTCAAAAGGCAGTGCGGATTGCTTTAAACGTAAGCGCGATTTCTAATACACACAGATATTTTGTAATGTCAGTGACGTAATATCTTTCTTAAACATATGTACTGCATGTATGCGGGTTGAGCGGCGTTGCAGTTGGAGTATCGTTATCGAATTGTTATAACATGTTATACAGACGCATTGATTCATACGATGTCATGTATCATAATAAAAATCATTTAATGGACAAGTTACATTATTTTCATAAATGATCTAATGTTCAACATAAGGCGACACGTCGCGCGCTATCGTTTAGTTTTAGGTAATAACAATTACGATAGCAAGATGACGTGAATGAAATCATCACGATACGTTACATCACTTGTATGTAACTCTACAAACAAGTATTATGACATTTGTACTTTGCGCATGTTTTGTTACTTATACATCGTTACCTGTACAACATCTATATATATATATATATATATATATATAAGGAAATTTTATATATATATATATATATATAATTTCCTTAAAAATTCCATCGGTAAATGCAACGACGATTGTTCTTTTCATGCGGAGGTGTACTTTAATTACCTGTAACAATAAGTTTTGCAGGGGAGACGCGAGTTCTGGAATGTTTCAGAGTACAGAATAAAATACGTGAACACACAATTGAAAAGTTCGGACTTTCGGCAATTGACTAGTCTTCTTTTCCTTTCCCGTTGGATGGTACAACGTGAATTTCACTGTAATCTCGCGCGATATCGATGTACTGAAATATAAACGATGCATATTAGCGATATATGAAAATGTGTACATTGAAAGTCACAACATTTTTAAAACATTTTACCTTTCTCGGAACGAGGAATTCCAAAATCTGTAGTATTATATAACACAGTGATACCACGAGCAGGTAGGCCAATACGCCACTTCGTATCTGATTTGTCAATTGCTGTCCTAGATTCTTCTTGGCTTCATGTTTCACCAAATTATACACTATCTCGGTACGTTTGGTAATGTTGAACCAATTGTAGAACAAGCCTATTCTCCTGTGTGCTTCAAACGGACATCTGACGTTACCCATTTTGTAGTCTGCTATGGCTGTTTCCAAACCTTCTATTAACGCAGGTACAGTGGGCTCCACGAGATAAATTAGATCCGCTGGCAAGACTTCTGGGATCCCACCAACCTTCGTCGACACTACCTGCAAACTGTAAAATAATATGCATGCTTGTTCTATTTATTTGCATTATCCAGGACAGAAAAAGAAATATTAGTAAAAGAATAAGATAAAGCGTCAGAAAATTGAAGAGATATAAGTGAATAATTTTCCAAAGTTTTAGCGAGAGAAGAGGGATGAAGGTACTATGTCGCAATTTACCCGCAAGAAGCCGCCTCTACAATAGCCATACAGTAAGCTTCTGTAAGACTCGTGTTTAGAAAGATGTGACCCTTATTCAGGACATGTCTAACTTGCGAGTGCTCTAAGCTGCCCAGCAAGGTAACTCGGTGTTGTAACAAGTTTCTTTCCCGCACTTCCTCTATAAGCCATCTCTTTGGACCGTCTCCACCGATTAAGAATTGTACATTCTTATGGCGCGAACAAATCTCAGGTATTATATGGGCTAGGAGGTCGACACCCTTTCTGTACACTAGTCGCGATACTATTACTATGGTAACTGAAATAGACAATTATATCGCGATAACTACAGTGATTCGTAAGTATAATGTAACGGAGAAATTCTCAGATCTACAAGACTCACTAAAATCGTTGCTCCGTTTACTGATATCAGGCGTGAATAATGTGGTATCGACGGCATTTGGAATAACCGAGACTTTCTCTTCTTGCACCTTTGCTCGCAATACCGTATTTTCCTTCCCGATGTGAGACACGCATATGCAATGATCGCAATCAACCAATGATATCTCGAGAAATTTGTTTGTCAGAATAGCAGAGGCATCAGCGAAGCCAAAAAGAGAATGATCTGTGAACACTGTCTACAAATCATAACGTTAGTTGAGGCATGCAATGTGAGTCACATGAAGTTATATACATATATACACTAAATAACTAAACCTTACTTTCAGTCCCATTAATCTACCAATCAACATTCCCTCGTGCGCTAAAGCAGAGAATGCTGAATGGCCGTGTATTATCTGTATGTCTTCTCTTATGAATATGTATCTAATGAGTGGTAGAGAGCACACCATCGTTGGGAGTACACACTGATTGTAGAATACTTTTACAGGGATATAATACACCTTAAATAAAACAGATACGAGAAGAAGATCTGAGCCATCGAGCAATCCGTTGCAGATAACTGAGAAGTGAACAGTAATCAGAGAAACGTACTTTTAAACCATTTGTCATGTACCTTACTCCTACTCTGTCTTCATAGGAGTGTGTGAGTATCACCACTTTATGTCCGTGCTCCAGCAGGCATTGAGACAAATTGAAAATATGCTCCTCTACGCCTCCCATGTTTGGATAAAAGAAATCCGAGACCATGCTACAAAAATGTATTGCACGGTTACTATTGATATCGTCTCAGCAGAAGTTAAATACATAAGATATTAGTAAACAGTGTAAGACTGAGGATTACGAACCAAATCTTGTGTTTTACACCGTTCATCTTCACACCCACACATGACTCATACTGCTTAACGCGACGCTTGCTGAATTGCAATATCGTCGGTGAAGCCTGTGTCGCGTGCAAAGTCATTTGCAGGATCTGTCACATTGTTACTGTATCAGACTAATGGAGCATCAGAGAGTGTCGAGCGTCCAAGGCTGGATGAAACAAATAACACATCTCCTCAATATTGAGTTCCGTCAATATTACGCACTATTAGAACTTTTTTATAGGAGATTCACCTATATCATGTACAAGAATGTTCCATTTTTCCTCAAGATGCTTTGTACTCATAGCTCTTGATAGTTTTCACTCCTCGATCATCCGATCTTCGAGCGGTACGCTTCTGACATCTGTGTTGGATGAAGATCGTTTCGGCCAATGACTTTTAGGGACTCACTCTATCGAATTCCTAGAATCAAGTATTCTGTGTGAGAGAGAGAGAGAAAGAGAGAGGACATGATCGCCTGCATATGGGGATTATCGACGTAATCGTACTCGAGTTTACTATAAATCGATAATTTCATTTGCGATGGAGATACGAGCAGTCTTTCACAGAGCGCGCCGCCGTCGGCGCTGTTCTCTTCATCCTTTGTTCGTATGAACGCAATTACTGGCTGGTCGTGTAAATTTGAAGGCTTTCTCACATTTATTCATAGTAATTGCGTGTTACTTATCGCTATTAGCACGTTAGAGATCGCCACGTATAAGGTCATCGCGCAGCGCGGAGGAATAGCGGTTTCGATCGATATATGGCCAAATGTCGGCGAATTAAACACTCGCTGCTCGCGCGTAATCTTATCTCTCGTATTCTACATTCCACGCTGTCACGCAACGTATGATTTATACACGCGACATATGCGATCACACTGTTATTACGCGCAATCTCGACACGCAAACATACCAACATTCATTGGCGATTTCCTCCTCTTCGTCTTCCGCGACGAGTAACAAAATCGAGTGGGATTCAACACGACCGGTTATTCCGAGCACGATAGAGGCGCGTCTCTCCCACTGCAAACGCGACGTATTCCTCCCTTCTCTTTTTCCCTGCTATCCTCGGAACTGTCGCTTACCTATTGTCACGCACCTCCGGCTTGACGCGTCACGTAACCTGGCTCACTCACGGGGTCGCGGTCTCTCTTTGTCGCCGAATAAACGGAAGAACAGCGCACTTTTTTTGTCGTCCGACCAAGCTCCGTGACAGCGTTGGAAAAGTTTGGTAGCTCGGTAGACCTCGCCGAGAGGAATTATCAGCGGAAAATACACTGCGATTGCAGGCTGCATTTTTCGCTTATCTTCCCCCCGAACAACGAAGTAGAAGACCTTCGCTCAGCTCGACTACTCTGCACGATTCAGCCTTTCGAGACGGCATCGAAAGAGACTCACAAAGTTTTCGAGATGGGCGCCGAAAACAAGGTATGTATGTGAAAACGCCGGCTTATCGTTGTCCATTATTTCGTCTGAAATTCGTGTCAAAAGAGAGAGCGTGCAAACGGACGTTTCTTTTTTATCACATGTTGCGACACCAGTAGATGCTCATTAATCGTTTCACGGAAAACGAGGAAATGCGGCGCTCGCTCAACGTCCTTGACGTCCCCCGGACAGATTTAATCAGCTCATTCTCATAGCCACGAGTGTTTGTCACTTATTCTTGTCGACATTCACGATAAACGTTTCTCTTGAGAGACCTTTGGATTCTTTCCTTGAGATTCCTGCCGTTCTCGAGTTTACATCTCGCACTTGTTTGTGCCGAGATATAAAGGGAGACGGAAGGGTGTTTTTTTATCGCAAATTCCCCGATAAAATATATTTATAATTTTCTATGCGGAGTTACCTACCTTGTTGTTTCGAATAGCAACGATATCTTGCCTCGAGCTTTGTTGAACTATCTTTCCGTTGGAACGCAAGGACTGCCCAAGTGCAATAAACACTTTGTTTTTCACCGTTGCAAAAAATGTTTATCACGCTTGTGATCAAGTAAGAAACGCGGCAAAGAACGGCGTATCGCGTGCGCACAAAGGTTCTCAATGTGACTCACAATGGGACTGTTTATCGGTCCGTTTGCTCCTGCGAGACAATTTTTTCCTTAAAAATTATAATACTCTTACATAGTGAACTTTATATTCAATTCATACGATATTGTTAATACGAGAAGCGAAAATTCATTTCAATAATATTTAACGTTCGAAATGCTGTTTGAGATTCACTGGATAGTGACGAGAGTCGAGCTGCAACATGTCGGGCTGCAACATGCTTTTCCCTTTAATGTCGGGCTGCAACATGCTTTTCCCTTTAAATTGTAGATGACGTTGCGGTCGTCACCATATAAGTATGACTTTTGGTACGGAATCCATTCTTTTAGAAAATATATCGCTCCACCTTCGTGATTATTACGAACCCGATTTCACCCGTTTCGTCAATCGCAACAAGAGAGTGGAACAAAGATTCATTATATAGCCGATTTAGACAGGCATATCACAGCATCTTTTCTTGCCTTTGTTACGTTCGTCACATTACATACTGTTATCGTGAACGTGATTATTTAAATGATTCATTAATACTCGGTGAGAAAGTTGTTTTAAGAAAGAGAGGGATATTTTGTTGCATGACAATTTATATAAATTAATTGTAATCAATATCTTTTTTATGGGGTAGATGTCCGAGAGAAATCCTGAAATGAGAGAAACAGCAGCGCGAATCTGTCGGGATTATTTATATGGTGTTTGGAAACACATAACCGCACAGAATATTATTCTTAAACGTGTCAGGTTTGTGAGAGTCTTGTGTACGATATAATAATATACAGCAACAATATTCTAGTAGAACGTTATTAAAATGGTAAAATTTAAATAATTATTTTCAGTGGTGGTCTAAGTAATTGGCTGTACAACGTTGAGCTTCCTGAAGGAACAACTCCAGTTCGAGGGGAACCACGTCAAGTTCTGTTACGTCTGTATGGACAAGTGCATGGAGAGAGAGCCTTGGAAGGGCTTATCACAGAATCTGTTATCTTCACTTTGCTCTCTGAGAGAAAGCTAGGTCCTAAATTACACGGTGTTTTTCCTGGCGGCCGTATCGAAGAATACATACCAGCACGGCCCTTGCTCACCAAGGAATTAGCAGATCCAACATTGAGTCTGATGATAGCTGAGAAACTAGGACAGATACACATGATGCAGATACCAATCAGCAAAGAGCCTACGTGGTTGTGGGATACAATGAATAAATGGCTCAACTCAGCGACCGATATCCTCGAGAATACCGAAGACATGGACGTCCGGTACTCGGACAACGTCAGTGCCATAAAATGTATAGACTTGGAGCACGAGATCAAGTGGTTCAAGTAAGCGAGAGAGTAGCGATAATCCGCCGACTGAACTCACGAGCTGAAGGCGATCACGATCAATCTAATATATTTTCAGGTCGCTTGTGTTGCAACACAAACAGCCGGTTGTATTCTGTCACAACGACATGCAAGAAGGCAACATACTCATACGCGAAAATACGCGTAAGCCTGAAATAGTAGTTATTGACTTTGAATATTGTTCCTACAACTATCGAGGATTTGATATCGCTAATCATTTCGCCGAATGGCAGTACGACTATACGGTGCCAGATTATCCTTTCTTTCGCGAACGTCTCACCGCCGGTCCCACAAAGGAGCAAAAGGTAAGTTTGAATCGAAAACAATATCTGGAAAGTGAAGTAATCTCGGTAAGATGTTCTCATGATTATAAGTTCAGTATGTTTCATCCGGTGTTATCATGTCTCATGAATTTTTTTTTGTGAATTATTAAAGCACTGATAATCTAAAGATCGCAAATAAATACCACTTAAAGATAGATAGGCGTCGCCAATAAAGTGACGTATAATGAAATTGATAAGGGAAATTGTAGCGAAAAATTAAAAGCACTTGTTATCAAAACAGATCTTTCTGTTAGTTAGGGAAGAATTTATTGTGTTCGATTACATGATAATTTATCATATTTATATCAGATATTCACTACATGTTTATATCTAATTTGGGAGTGATTTGTCTATGAGAAAAGAAAAAAAAACATTGCGCATTTTATATCTCTATAGAGACGCAGTGCGCAAACTGTTGCTTTGGTCAAGGTAGTACAATTTTTTTTTTTTTTTATTACGTGACGAGGTAGCCTTCCGCCGTAAATATGTTACTCTGTACTGTGCCAGTCCCTGCACAGTAAGTTAGGCGTCAGCTTGGCGTGTGCTGCGTGTGTATATATTAGTTTCACAGGACTGCAATCCATCAAGACAAGGCTGATGCCTGCAATGAAAAAAATGGACAGGATGTGATATTGTGAAGGATTCCGATTGGGTGCGCTACATTTGTGGAACCAGAGTGGAACCGGTTCTACCATCTCTTGGGAACACCAAATCCACATCCGCTCATCCACAGTACTTGTACACGCCCTCACAATTCATAATCTGCATATCTCTACAAACGTGTCTCTCTGCAGTAACGATTAAAAGCGTGTTCGTCCTCGATTTGAGCACTTTAATCGGCGCGATTTTAATCGGCGTAATTCTGCGATCTGTAATTGATAAACCACTAAGTAGTTTATCTTGTTAACAGCAATAAAACGCTACATTTCTGTTAGGGATCTAGAATTGTCAAGTGAATAGGAAATATCTATCTTCTAATTGCACATACAGTATAAATAATTCGTATGATCATACGATTATTAAAATACCTGATTATTTTTCTAAAAAAAAAAAAATAATAGCAATATACACATTCCATATATTTTTCATATGTATAATAGTAATATTATATTATTTATATCAACGTTAAGTAATGTGTAATGCATCATGAATTAGCCCTTGTGTACCCTTTCCAGATGCTTGATGTTTATATCTCATTTATTAGTAGCTAAAGTTCTGTGTATGTCTGCCGATCTTATAATTAATATTTACTTTGGTTACTGAATAGTTGCCAAATAAATTTATCTTAATTTTAATACGAGTCGATGAAAGAAACATTTTAACGATTATTAAATTCTTTATTTTACGTAATGTTTTACAAAGTGGATTTTTTTAACAGCTCGACTTCATAAGAGCCTACCTGAGGACATTGGGGAAAGAAGGAGCTGCGGAGGAGGAACGTATCATGATGGAAGTGAAGATATTTTCACTAGCTAGTCACTTATTCTGGGGGCTCTGGAGCATCGTGAATGCTAAAATTTCGCAAATTCCGTTTGGATATTGGGTGCGTGTATACCGATTAGATCTGCATATTTAGGTCGCTGTTCTGTACTGTGTCATTATCTTACAGTCTCTGTTTCAACGTCATCTGCTTCAATTTTTTAGGATTACGCTGTCTCTAGATTAAAAAGCTACATGTACTTAAAGGAGAAAATGCTTACCTCTGAGTCACCAGTATCGGATGGCAGCCTTAAGAGAAAGTCTAGCGATATAGATTGAGAGCACAAGATTGAACAGAAGAAGACGCAGCTTATATGTTTTGCTACATAAAAGTAGGTAGCCCTATTTGCCAGTAAATCGATGGGATCGTTAAGCTTTGTCAAGCAGCGAGATTTATCAGGATACGATCAGTCATTATTTCTTCCAACATCGTGAGATAATGTGTTCCGCTGTTTTTATAAGTGCACAGCTTATTTCGAAAGGATGAAATATTCACTAAACGCCTGTTGGGAAGTAATTGCGTTTTATTGAACGGAATTATTGCTTGAGTACGATGTGGCAGAGTAAATGAACGAACAGAGTAAACAAGAGTAAATGGAAGATCAATCATGTGATATAGAATAAGCACGTTAAACGCATGAATCTCCGTTTACTGTCTTAACTGCGCATTCGTTGAGTCTTAATGTTAACAGAAGAAGAGCGAGATACGTAATCTTTTTTTGTAATTTTCGTAATATATTTATAAACAATAGAGAAATGCCGATAACTTGATAAAGTAGGAAGAAATTAGGAAGAAAAACGAAAAGGCTGTTACCTAGTGTACAAAATTACGTAAATCATAAGAAAGTCCGCAATATGTCTGTAGCGTATTACTTTATCCCTCTTTTTTTAGTATGTTAACTTTTATATATTCGTTATACGGCTGTCTGAAACTTCATTGTCAACAACACTACGTCTGTTCGATTTTGCACGTTAAATCGTTTGTTACAAACGTGCAGTAATAGTGAATGGATTCTTTGTAACGCAAAGTCGGCGCGGTACTTATTGTAATGCGTCAATTTTACTCGGGGTTGACATAGTTAAGTACTATCATTAAGAATAGGTACTTAATATTGTGTAAAGGAGAGCAGCACCAAATATTTAGAATGACCGATATCTACGAACGCAATAAATAAAACGCACCAAAAACTGAAAATGGACTATTCATTTATACACATTCATAAATAAAACGTTCAGTTTTCGTTCTTCCTCTTCGGTTTCTTGTTTGTAGTTATTCGTAAAAATTTTCACAGCTCCTTTTTTTAGTTAGAAAAAAAGGATTACGGAAGATATCAATAAACATCTACAGTAAGAAATAATCTTTTTTTATATTCATCGACGACACGTTAAGAAATTGATTTTATAATTATGAATGTTGCGTACGTGTGTAGTGTGCAGATGTGTGTACATGAATCAGCGCTGCGCTGATACGACAAATAAGTCAGAAATGGCTGAAGAAATTCTTCAAAGAGTAAGAATTTCGGAGGCTCTGGACTCCAGCAGTTTCTCCATTGAACTAACATCCTTACACCACCCATCGAGACGTTGCACCATTCCTGCGATTTGGCTGCGATCTAACACGCGTGGTTGTACCCATGTCATGTTAACGGTACCCGCCACTTGATCTATAGCACCTCGTACAAGATCCTGGGCAAGAGCTTTCATCACCAACAGCTCCACTTCGCCGAGAGGTAGGCGCGTCTCCTGAGAAATCTCTGTGAACGTCAGTTGTCTGGAACGAAGAGTATTATTAGGGAATATCTAAATAATTAAGAACAGTATATTGCGAAATATATGCGATTTCTCGCTTCTGACGACAACAAGGATAATGAGGACGTAGAGGAGCCTTGATACTCAAATAATCTAATTTAAACACAACCTCACAAAAAGCCAATTGCAATACTTGGATCGTTTTGGATTGTATGAATGAAGAACTCGGTTAAAATTCAATCATATGTACCGATTGTTGGCTTGCCGTTTGAAAGTCATTTCCATGAGGCATAGCAAGGAAATCTTCTGCCTCAATTTCAATTCTTGTGCAGCCAGGTCGGCAACTTTGCTCCACTGTGGTTTTAATCTTTCCAAAGCGACAATGTCACCGGCATTGAATGCCTGTAGCAAATCAACAAGCCAACTGTTTGATGTACCCCTCAATGATTCCAAGACCGGATGTGCCAATAATTCTCCAAGATTATAAACACCCTCGCCTAGGAGCGCTGCGAGACCGAGAAAGAAGGCGTGTTGCTCTTGCTCTTGTCTGCTCAAGCTATTCAGCTCAATGCAGCCGAGATATCTGAGCAATAAAAGATATAGATGTGAGATGCGACTTAATAATCCTCATTCATATTCTTCGTCACAATATGAATGACATGAAACTACCTCAATGCTGTACGGTAATATTCTGCATGTTTGCCTTGTAATCTGTACAGTCGACTGGCTAGAAGATAGAAACGCCCGTGAACTGTTGTAATGCCATCGGCGTTATCTAGCATAGCCTCTACCTCCTCTATGATCTTCTTCGCTTGCTCTTGATTATTCAGCTTATCCAATAAAATTTGCCCCTTGAGAACCTTACAGAGTGCCACAGCTTCATTGTTACTTTGGACTTTAGCCTCAGTTTTTTCTAAGAATTTAATCGCTTCCTGCTTGTCTTGAAACTGTTGTATTACATGCGCTAGTATCTCCACCAATGATAATGGATTTATTCTGTAGATAAAAATATGGTAAAAGTATTAATATTAAAATATATATATAGCAACAAAAATAATAAAACAAACAAGTTATAGAACAATGACAATACAGGAACATCCCATATAAGGTGATATTTTTATTTAAATGTAAAACAGTTACAAACAACAATACTCACTTGTTTTCGAAGGTCGACAGAAAATTAACGTACAATTGCACGAGATTATCTGTCTGCTGGAGTGCTGGATGTTTCACAAACGTCTCCAATTTGAGTGTCAGCTGATGCCAAAGCCTGCAAGTCACCGGGAGAGACGATCGGGTAACAAACATATGTTGATTATTTTTCCAACGTGAGATTTCACTCTACGAAATACACGTGTATAATCGAATTACCTTTTGCTGTAAAGCTCCTCGAGCTGCAGCCATTCCGCGGCCAGCTCCTTGTCGGGAACATTTTGCTTCGAGCTGAGAAAGATGTTCACATCCTTCGCTGCCACGGACGCCGCCATATTTGATGATACTCGATAACATGAGCGAGTGCTAGTCTCCCGTGGGTTACCTTTTGGTCCACGGCGCACACAGTCATAAGATAGGAGTCGCGGTTTTTGCAAATAATTACTAGACCCATTCGATTTTTCACACATGCGTATGAAGACCAATTGAGACATTGTAAGAATAATAATAGAGTGGAAAATATAAAAGTGCAAATATTTTCCTCGAGTTTTTTTCTCGTGTCAGATTTGTGTAAAAAAGTGCAAAATAGCAGGGGGAAAATGTAACATGTATTTCTTCTCGGCACGTTGCATGGACAAAAATATAATCACGTTTATAAATAAAAGATAACATTTACAGGATAACGAGTGGTCCGAAGTCCGTGTTTGAAACTATGAGCGAACTTTTTACCGTGCAAGGACAACGATTGTTTCCTCTTATGATTATGCGCTTCCTTAGCAACCGGGAGGTTTGATATTGTCTTATAATGAACGTTACATTTTATAGATAGAACATACATGTTTTGTACACGACACTCTAAACTGTACAATAACGCAATTGTAACGTAGAAACAAAGTCTGCCAGTTTCAACCGTCACAGTTTAATCGACGATCAACTCAACGGAGTTGACCAATCGCACTGATCGGTTCAGCTAATTGCCAATGCGATTGGCTTAATTCCGTCGAGAGTTAATCGTCGACTAGATTTAAACCGTGACGGTAGAAACGGGCACTAGAGTATAATTTTAACGTTCCTTATATTGGGAAAGTTGCGCGTAACATACACGCGAAATCGAATGCATCAACGAAGAACACACTTTTCCTTCATTTCTACACTCATCCCGCTAGCGCTGAATCTAACGAACGATTGACATCGAAATCTTACAGTCGCGACCGTACAATATTACTCTTCCCGATCAAAGGCCGTTCGGCTTTTACATCGACGTTCGACACGAAGAACAAGATTTACGACGGAGAGAGGGCGTCGACCCCGGGCAGTATTTTGCCCTCCAGGAGCTCCAAACTTGCGCCACCGCCGGTGCTCACATGGCTCACTTGGTCTTCGGTTTTCCACTTGGCCGCGCACGTTGCCGTATCTCCGCCTCCGATTATAGTGATGGTTCCTCGGGTTGTAGCCTCGACCACGTTGTCCATCAGACTCTTGGTGCCTTGGCTGAAATTCTCAAACTCGAACACACCCGCTGGGCCGTTCCATACTATGACTTTTGCTCTCTTAATCGGCTCTGTGTGTTGAGATATTAATCACGATTACACTATTGATACGTATATCTTGAAGAGCGTATGTTCAGTGAAAACGACTTACCGGCAAATAAGTCTCTTGATCGCGGACCGACATCGAGACCCATCCAATCATCGGGTATACCGCTTTCGACGTCGGCGCTCCCCACCGCCGCATTTTCCGCGAATTTGTCCGCAGTCACAAAATCTATCGGCAAATGGATTTGCACGTTGTTCTTCTTCGCTTTATCCAACAAGTCGTTCACAATCTTAGCACCTTCCTCGTCGAACAGAGAACTTCCAATCTGAAGTGACGCAAATGAAAAATATTTAATCTTTAATATCACACTCTATATTTACTTTTTCTTTGTTATATATATATTCTATATTACCTTCATGTTTTTGGATATTTTCAAAAACGTATAAGCCATACCGCCACCGATGATCATTTCGTTCACCTTGTCCAGCAAATTGTTAATCAATTGAATCTTGTCAGCGATCTTGGCGCCTCCGAGTATAGCCAGGAATGGTCTTTCTGGGTTATCTAGAGCTTTAGCAAAGTATTCAAGTTCTTTTTTGAGGAGGAAACCACTAGCTCTTGTCTCGAATCCATCTCCCATCATGGAACTGTGAGCACGATGAGCAGTTCCGAAAGCATCATTTATATACACATCTCCTAGTTTCCTCAGGGATGCCCTAAATTCTGCAACTTTATCTTTGTCAGCTTTAATCTAAAATAAATTACTCTATTGACGTTAACATATTCATGTTTGACATTAAACTAAAAAAACTTGAATTTATGAAGATAATTCAGTGTGCAATTCAGTATGCTAACAATTTAATGCATACCTTACTTCCATCAGGACCTACTCCTTTGCCTTCCTCTTCGACATGGAATCTCAAGTTTTCTAACAAAATAATAGTACCACATGCTGGATTGGCACAAGTAGCTTCCACCTCGGGTCCAACGCAATCGTTTAAGAACAAAATTTCTTTTCCTAGTAACGTTTTCAGTTCCTCAGCCACAGGTTTTAACGTATATTTCTCATCCCTCTTTCCGTCAGGACGGCCCAAGTGAGACATTAAAACAATAGACTTAGCCTTCTTGTCAATAGCATATTTCACTGTGTCTAACGCAGCAACAATTCTTTGATTGTTTGTTATCTTCCCTTCTTTCAATGGTACATTAAAATCAACTCTGGAAATCATTAGATGCATAAAAATCTCAAGTATACAAAATAACTCCATGATGTTACAATTGTAATTTAACTACTATGCTCGACATGTTAAAACATATTAGTCATATTTCTTATATTTCATGAGCTTTTCATCAGAAAATACATACCGTATTAGCACTCTCTTATCCGTCAAATCTACCTTATCAATGCTGAGCTTGTTGAGTGCCATAACCACAGTGTTTATCCTTGTAGTTTTGTTTACAACGATATTTTGAAAGAACAAGGAAATACTATCGATTACGAGGAATCTTGTTAACCTTCTATTAGCAGAGTGAGTAACGTATTTACGTAGCCCACTATTACTTGGAAGAAGCAAGCGCAAGAACTTGAAATCACGACAAGTCGGCAGCCCAAAGTCAAAGTAAGGTCGACGAACGTGGCGACCTCCTGTAATTATCTGCAATATACGATGAATTTGATCGAATTGAAACGAAATCATTATTGTTATCTTAGAAGAGACAGACATTTGTAAAGGATTCTAGCTGAAATTTTGTTAAAAATAGATAAAATTTAATGGGTTGCGATTTTCATAAAAATAATGATAAAGAGATAATAGAGTGAAACCTATAGTATTTGTAAATATATTTACGAATATACGATTTATTGAATTCCGTTAAAACGTTACAATACAAATATAAACCGAAATTTATCAAATGTCAAAATTTTCGGTAAAGTTTATTGACTTGTGTCACGTGAAAAATTTACACCCAAGTGGCGTTTAGTTCTTTGAAAGCATAAACTTGCCTTTTTCATTTGCATCTTGCAGATTGCGATGTGATTTCTTTTACGGAGTCATTGTTGAAAATAGCCGTTCAATTTTTATCGTTCAGAGAATACGAATAAATCAGTATGACATTTTCAAAAGAAATAATAAAAAGAAAACTAAGCGTTCTTTCTTTAAAATGTATTTATTGCATTCTTAATATAAAAAATTTCTCGATATAAATTTATCTAAAAGATGAGGTTTAAAATGTAATAGCGTCATTTTTCATTTAACTCTGTCTATTTCGATAAAAAACGAAGCAATATCATTATTTTAATATATTTAAAAATTAAAAATTTTAGGCTAAAATGCTTTTCGAATCATTTTATTATTGTCATTTTTACGAAAGTCACAGTCCATCTAATTTTGCGTATTTTTCATGATAAAATAAAAACATGCCTAACTTGTAGTCGACTCGTATTATTTACTTGAACGCAGAGATACGTCTAACTTATCGTTGAGTTGTACCACGTTATTTCGTTGAACACAGAGCCGCTCGTGTATAGCGGAGACTTTGGAACCAATTTTCAATAACTTTAGCCAAAATTCAAATCCCATTTAGCCGAGACTCGAACCAATTTCTCAACGGGATTAATCATGCTACCGCTAGATGGCGTTAGATCGGCGTAGCCGTTGGATTTTCGTGCAGTACCGCTAAAATGGCGCCAGGCAGTTTGTTAGTCAATTTTTATCGGGTTTGTAATGAATCGGCTATTAGTTTAAAATATCGTCTCTGCTTTCGTTCATTGAAGATAAAACTCATATTTCAAATTATGTAAACATCGTTTGGGTGTGATCCCTTTTATACGAGCAAATTTCATCCCAAATTTTAGTATTCGACGGATTAGCATTTACATTCGTATAACGCCATAATGATTAAACTTTATATTCGTAAATATATGTCTTGAAATTAAGATTTTAACCTGCAAAATGCTCCTTAAACCATCTCATTATTATTATTATTGCAAAAGTTACAGTAAGTTTACAGTCGTCAAAAGTTAATTTTAATTTTTCGATTAATTTTACCAATTTAACTGAATTTTAACTGAAGACTCTCCTTAAAATACATTTCCCCTCTTACATTCGAAATCGACTAAACGTTTCTATGGTGCCGCAAAAATGGCGACTAGATCGATTGCGCTCATTAGCTTGTATTACGAAAATTTTAACCGTTGCAATTATTCGGCACCATCAGGATGAAAACAAGCGACTTTGAATCTCCGCAAGTAATATCTTCGAGAATTAGCGCCAGTTCCTCGAAGATGAAACTCGGCGGAATTGGGCGGCCTCGTAAAGTCGGCTGCGAACGTAACCTCGCATCGGCGCTTCTTCAGCAAAGACAAGCTTTTCGCATCATTCAGAACGACATCGATGTCACGCCCAAGCCATTGGTTCATCCAGCATTCAGCGTTATCGAAGAGAACCAGGTCACCGCGTTGGAGACCCTCGGGATTTTTCAGACAGGAAGCAGCATCCAGTTGATATCTCCGTCTGATCTGAGTGGGCTTAGAGCCAGCTCTTCTATTCTCTTCAAGTCTTCAATGCCGTCCGACGACATGCAGTTGGAGAGCCTACTTACTACTCAGGTGTGCGAGATCTTGCAAGAAGAGGAAGATGCTGCACCACCACCGTTCTTTGTAGCTAGGTAATGCTTTTGATAAAAGTAGTAAGTAATATTTAATTAAAAGATGATTTTATTTGTAACAATAATCATACACCCAATAATTATAATTATAGTTTTAAAGGATTGGAAAAACTGAGTTTTTAATTTTTCAGTTTTTTTCCACCGATAAATTGAAAAAAAAATGTTTTTCAATTTTTCAGTGGATTTTTTTCGATTTCTTTCAGAAGAAAAATTGAAGAAAATAATTTTTTTTCAGCTATAATTATAATTGTTTAATCAGTAGATATTAAAGTTCCTATCTCTTGTAAAATAATAAAGTTGAAAAATGTAAAATTTGCAACAACACTGAATTTTTAATAATGGTGAAATTAATATTTTTAATTATGCCTTCGTAGAGATGATTCGGTGATATTACACGAGCGGCCGGAAACTGTGACGATCACCCTGAAGGAAACGCAGACATTCTTCATCTTCGAGATGCCGCAGCTGACCGGGGATTTGCCAACACCAGAAGGACAGGCGATTAAACGGGAAAATGAATATTACGAGTATGTGACGGTAGGACCTGGCTCTAATCGGAAATTGATAGACGCCGAGACGCAAACGATACACGTGCTGACGAAATCACGCGGCACCTACTTGGGAGTGAGACCTAGGAAAAATCAAGGAATGTTCGTTAACAATTGGGTGATACACGACACTTACGCAGCGCCGGAACTGATGACAGAGAAAGATGGACGTCTGATGGTGCACTCGAAGGAATCGATGCGTCGGATGCGAGAAACACAAGTAAGAAAACATTCGATTCGATTTTTGAAAGTGAATCACGATCAATATTGAAAGAACGTAATTTCCTTTCTCTCTTTACTGTGTATTGACAATCCGACTTATTTATTTATTCCATCCAAAATTAAATTGAAAATCATTTCTTGGGTGCTAAAGATTAATATATAAAAATTAGAAAATATATTTCCTATATATTATGAAATGTGTGTAACAAATGAAGGAATTTTAATTAAAAATTGCTACAAATTAGTCAAAATAATTCGATCTTCATATAAAAATACGATTTCCATGAATATTTCTACGGTAGGAGTTGCGATACAAGCTTCCCGAGCCTGAAGTAACTCCCGACCTGAGCCTCGAAGAACAATTATCCCACATATGCCGGAACACTCGTTTCCTGGACGCAGCGCGCGTGATGGAGCGCCTGATCGCGAACAACGTGTTCCTGGCGGTGCAGAAACGCTTTACCGGTGTGACCGTACGCGATCCCTACGCTTTAGACCTCTGCTTCGATTACCGGCTGGACCTGTTGTGGATGCATGTGTGTGACGAGGCTCGCTGCCGTCCGGTCGCGTCGTTCCGCTGGAGTCCGGCTAACGCGAGTGTCCTCGCTGTCGGCTACGGTGCGGCGCAGGCCTACAAGCGAAACGGCCTGGTGCTGATTTGGTCCGCCAAAAATCCGAGCCACCCCGCTCGCCGGTACGCATTCGACAGTCCGGTGTCCGACATCAACTGGAGCATAAGTCGACCGAATCTCCTGGCGATCGGTTTTTACGACGGTAACGTCAAGGTCATCGACGTTAGCGCTAAGGACGTCAATGTGATCAGACAGAGTCAGAGGGAGACGTCGCCATCTTGTTCGCCGCATTGGCAGGTGGGAAATGAAGAAGACGTTCTTTTTAGCTGGACTGGATCAAACATACACACTGAAGCGATTCTCCTGAATTAATGTCAGTTAAAAAGAACAGACCAATGGCTACGACACTTTGTTATATTACCTTTATACGTGTTGCGTTCCTCAGGTGCAATGGTGGAGCGGCGACGAGCAGTTCGACTACCAAGAGCAGATCTACACGAGCGATCAAGACGGCCGGGTGTATTGCTACCGTTCCGGTGAAGACTTCCTCGCCACGGAGATTATGCGGTTGTACCGCATGGAGGGTAAATTAATGGGAGTGAGCAGGATCCATCACTGCGTGACTCGCAATGTGCCCATCAGCCGGCAGCCAGGTGCCTTGGTTTTACGAAGACACCCCAGCATCAGTAACATCTACCTCGTGGGTTCGGACGAGGGTTGCATCTACCGATGCTCCACCACCTACCTGCGCCAACACATAGACAGCTTCTCGGCGCACGACGGCCCGGTTTACTCCCTCGAGTTCTCACCGTTCTGTCAGAAACTCTTCCTCACCTGCGGCGCCGACTGGTGCACCAGGATCTGGGCGGAAGGTCTTACCGAGCCGCTTATTACACTCTCGACGACGATGGCGTGCGTGCGAAGTGCACAATGGAGTCCCACGTGCTCCACCGTTATCGCCAATGTGGCCAGCGATCAGATCTGCATCTGGGACATACGCAGGAAGACCTACAGCCCGGTGTCCGTGACGATCTCCAGCAACAGTGCCAGACTGGTCGCCGCTGACTTCACAACGAACGGCAATCAGCTGGTGGTCGCCGACATCGAGGGTGCGGTTTACATTTACAACCTGGAGGGCATGCCGTTCCCTCCGTACGACCAGAACAAGGTACTGATCGAGTCCATTCACAAGGCGATGCTGACCAAGCCGGAGTTGCTCAGGAAACTGAAGAAGCTAGGCCCACCCTTCTGATCGTCTGATCTCTCGTTGCAACAATGGGGTAAGTGTCGGCAAATATTCCCAAACTAGCGGGTGAAAGTACTTTACCCGATCGCTCTTACGTATGAAATGAGAAAACGGATAGCTATTTAACAATTACGTCGCACTAAATTTGCCTATTTTTTAGCCTTCCCTCCCTGCATCACAAAAATATGTGTCTCCTCCCAATATTCGCCGGCAATCAGATAAAATAAAACTATCTTCTTTTAAAATATAAATAATTTCCAGGCGTACAATATCAAATTAACTACTTTATTTTGACTAAGTAAAAGTTGTGTTTTTAATCAAACTAGCATTTTTAATCAAATTAGCATTTTGATTATTAATACAAAACTATGTCAGAACTTGAGAATTTCCACCAAATGTAGTCACGAATGCAAAGTGAATAATCATCCAATATTTACAAATTAATATGACCTTTACTCCCTCTCCCTTCCCCTTTCATAGACCGCAGGCTAATAGATCTCTTTCTCCCTTTCGCAATGTGACGTAATTGTTGAATATTGCCCCATAGGCACTGGAGAATAAGCAAAAAAATCGACTCTGAAAATAAGCAAGGCAGCCCGATGTGCTCTCCTCGGAGCTTTCTTATCGACCGCGGGACGATAAAAGCCCGACACGTGGGGACCCCTCTCGGTCTGGTAAACACGATGGCCCCACGGGGCCTCATCGCGACGAGAGAGAGAGAGAAAGAGAGCAAAGTGAGTGTTCAGACTCGCCGCAGGGTCTCCGCCGGCGGCGGGGCCCGCTCGCGCCGGTCGGGGCCCAGAGCGAAAGAGTCTTCCGGTGTGCGGGGATGAGAGAGGGGCCTCACTCTGCCTGCCCCGTGCTATCTCTCTCCTTCTCTCTCTCTCCCTCCTTCCTTCTGCCCCCCTCCTGCTCTTTCTTTCTCTTTTTCTCTCTCTCTGTTGCCGCCGCTCGCGGGCACGAACCGCGCTACCGCCGTCAGCGGGCAGTCTCTTATTACGCCCGCGCTCAACTACGCGAACTAAGTACTCTTCTTAGGCGGACCGCTCTCGATGATAACGCGGATCGCGTGGACTATCAGCAGATTATTATACGCGCGGAGTACAATCGATCGCCAAGTAACGAAATCGCGCGTCGTCGAGTAAGAGCGTAAGAGAACAAGAAAAAAGAGGAAGAGAGAGAGAGAGAGAGAGAGAGAGACAGACAGACAGACGAGGTCGAACGATTCTGTGAGCCGCGTCAATGATAACGCGAACTATCTCGGAAAAGCCACGACGGATTTGGCGTGCGAAGGAGGTCGAGGATAACGCGGATGACGGCTCGGGGGCCGAAAGATGATGTGGAGTTCGCGTAGAGTGAGCACAATGCGATTTCCGAATAGGAATGACACCGCTAACGAGATCGGCGCGCGCGAGCATCGTCGAGCAAGGAGAGCTGAGTAGTTTCCTTCCCCAGTCCTTCAAGCCAGCGATGGATAACGTCGGGACTGCCACGGAGGAGTAACCGTCGAGAAAGTTGACTTGTGGTAAACGGTAGGGAAGATCGGACGATTTTCCGAACTGCGCGCGCGCGCGCGCAAGAGAGAGACGTGGTACGCGCGACTGTCAGAGTTTCGACGAAGTGATCGCCGTACTTCGGTAGGGATAACGCGGGATCACTAATCATCGTTGCGTGAGACACGGTAGACAAGAAAAGCACGCAGTTTTAGAAACGATGTTTAAGGAGATACTTCAAGTACGCGGCACTGTGCGTAATTTTAAGTTCTGACGCGTTCTTCCACGCACGTCGTTCTCCGGTTTCAGGTACCACTAATGACTAGTTATTATAGTCTCGTTATTAGCATCAGCGGAAAAAATTCTGTGCTACGATTGCCAAGGTGATCTATCGCGATGTAAAATTCATTGTCGCCCGGGAGATCCTTCCTAATTGAGTATAAAACCTCAATTTGACCTCGATTCGGAAGAGGTACGCCGATTGTCCCGAGGCGTATCCTCTTCAATTGAGATCGGTTGCGATATTCAGATCTCGGCGTTTCTCGCGGAGTTTCACCGATCAACGTAAACGCGGTATCATCGTTGTCCGCGAGCGAGCGAACGGGCGAGCGAACGAGGACGAGGAGGACGAACTTCCTCGTCGTGCAGAGAGAGAGCCGAGAAAGGCGATTAGCGGTGGGCCTCGTCGCCTTGGCAGTAGGATCACGTCAGCGTTAACACGCGCGCCAGGAATCCGCGTCGGGACACATACCGATCATCATCGTCGCGATCGACGATACTTTTTATTCGGAAACGTCCGTCTCCCCCGTGCGCAAGAAAGAAGAACGTCGCTCGCTGAGCATAAGAAATCTATTATGCGGGTAAAATGAAAATTAATGTACGAAAGAAGAAGTCATTTTTATCAAGGAAAGAAGGGAATTAATTAAATTAGCAAGAAAGACTCGTGATCAAGAAGAAAGAGAAATTGGTTATTGGAAAGGAAAATAAAATCATTATTTTGATTTTATTTATTAAGTGGTTATTAAAAAGGTCCCTCTCTCTACGAGTCTTGAATATTGAATAGAAAGGGTTGAATGGCAAATTTTTCAAATGGAGCACCGAGTATACGCCGCAATCAGCAACGATGCGGAACTCACTCTAAACCGCAAACCCTAGGCCGATGACCAGTTGTCCCGCGGAATAAAAGAAAAGCAACTGGAAACTTCGTCGGGATCACGACGAGCCGGAAAATTCTCGGCGAAATTGAAGGAAAAGATAAGAGAGGGAGAGAGACATCAAGAACCTCGTTGAGAATTCGGCTTGTCCACGTTGTTATACGCGAACTTTCGGTGCATAATGCACTGGAAAAAGACACGTGTAAATGGAAGTTAACTGCGAGGAAGATGACTTTGACGCGACATAGTGATCAATTTATTCGCGACAAACTTTAATCGACTCTCGAGAACGCTGCCTCCGCGACTTACGACGCACTGTGTATAGCAGCGAGAGCAGTGTTCGCGAAATTGCACGTCTTCGCTTATACACCGGGTGTGCGCTATGAACGACGACGTTGTCGGACAACATAACGGGTGGTACACAAGTAAGTACGTGGATTACTCCGAATTTATCGTCTGTTATCACGTATCGCTCGATGCGTACTTCAGCACTTCATAAGACATATTTTAGACCGAGCATTGCTGTTACTTCCATCAGACTGTTCAATATTGTTCGATCTTTCTTTTTCTATACGTGTAACGAAAGAAAATTTAACGAATTTTTTACGAATATCTCATACAAATTATTCTGCAAAGTACAAATGATAAAATCCTCCACAAATATATTACGAATTAATTTTCGAATTGCTAAATAGAATAACGTTCGTCCGTCAGTAACGAAATTTGCTAAACTCCGTAAATCGTTCTGAAAGGCTGCAGAGACAAATTCTTCCGCCTCACAGTCGGTATCATTAGCATCGACCTTTTTATTCAAAATCATCCATCTTTCTCGCACCTTTCCTCGTCGCTAAGACAGAAAAATAAATAAATCGACTCTCCGCGCAAATTCTTGCTGGCAAAAACGTCGGTGATACCCGGGCCGGGCCGTCAAATGAAGATGGATGCGTCGGACGGCCGGTGCATTTATTTTTCGCGGATGCAAAACGCGTTGCACAAGCTACCAACGAGAGAGATAGAGAAAAGAGAGAGAAGGAAGGGACGCACATTGTATCCGCTCGTAAATCAGCACCGGCTCGAATTATTAGCGCGAGAGTTCGCGCGATCGATCACCGAAATCGATTTTACCGCTGCGGTACACGCGTCGAAATTAATATTTTTAATTGCGTGCGTTATATGCGACGGATGATTAACGGCCGCGGAAAAAAGCGAGATCAAGATCGGATCGATCTAGGTTGCATCCTAGCAGCAGCAGCGCTTTTTGTTCAAGTTCTCTATTTAGGGTAGTAATACGACGACATTCGTAACGTTGTCGTCGATGCCACTTACAACGTAAAGTAAAAGCGACCCTAATTTTGTCCCAAACATATACAACATTCATCTCTTCAAGAAAAGTATCTCTTCTTCCTTCGAGAGGCGCGTAATTCCAAATTCGTGTAGGAATCGCATCGCGACTCGTGTGGAACCGAATCGATGCCACATTCGAAACGAAGCGGAAATCGCTCGAGCGACAGGCAGCTGAAATAGTCTCGACGCGTAAGAGAAGACACGTGTTTTCTAACACTCATTAATCCGTTAAAATGAAGTCCGAGCCGCGTTGTCGACCGATTCGGGAATTCTCCGTCGTCATCGTCGTCTCGTTCCTCTTCTTTTTCCTGTACGACCGCGACTTTCACCGCAACGCGCCTGTCGTGCGGGAGTTCAGAGTTCAAGAAACAACGCGCACGCATAAGCGGCAGTGCGAATAATTACGCGATACGCCCCTTTTTCTTAGATTTTCACCGATTTTTCGGAAACGGCCTCGATTCCGTTGTGAGAGGAAAACAACAAGATCCGAAGTTACGATGCCGTCGTGGACGTTAAGTTATTCCGAGCCACGACGACGTCCTTTTCGAGCAGTGACCCGCGACGAGCGCACCGTCGACCGCTTTGTTTCGCAGGGCACGTCCAGCAATTAGTATTCAGTCTGCTCGGGACACCCAGTGTAAGCATGTATATAAGATACTGGCTTCCCCAAGTAAACTTGTTTATCAAGTTACACGCGGCGAGCGCCGGCGAGCCTCGCTGGAAAAAGATGAGAAAGAGAGAAAGAGAGAGGGGGGAGACTCTATGATGACGGGATTTGTCCATCTTTCCCGTCGGCCACGCGCTGTTCAGCAAGAGAGAACAGCAGGATATAACGTACGAGCGAGTCACTACTTGGAACGAATTTATCGTTTAGTTAATTATATTTCTTCTGTTTTTTCCCCCCCTTTTTTTTTTTTTTTTTTTAAGGAGCAACGTAATAACGGTAATTCGCACGGTGAACCTCGAAGAGAGCACCCTGTTGTCTCTTCGCGGCGATCGCTCGAACGCAACGCGAGCCACATGAGTGCTCCTATTCGGCACGAGGAGGAAGACGTGCTCCTCGTCGAGGAGGCGACATTACGCCGAAATTGCCGAGGAATGTCCGTACCGCCGCCATTTCTTCCTTCCATCATGCCCCACGCAAAAAAGAGAAGGCGAGCCGCGGCGGGAAGGACGAGCGCTACTAAAAGTCGACCGGTTGGCAAGAAGGAGGAGAAGAAGAGGCAGAAGAAGAAGAGGAAGAAGCGGCAGCAGCAGCAACGGCAAGAGAAGAAGAGGGAGGAGGATGAGGAGGTGGAGGAAGACCTCTCAGGGAGCAGGACGATCGCGAGGAGAGACGACAGAGACAAAGAGGCGAATGTTAATGAGGCAGATCGACCTCGCATCGCGCGTGGATCTCGCCAGGACTCCGCCGGGGGACTCTCTGATCCCCGATCTCGTCGAGCTTGGCCGAATTTGCGATCGCGAACGAGAAGTGAATTAGAGCGATCAAACAAATCATAACAGACAATCGAGAAGAGGAGGGAAAGATGAGAGAATAAAAGAAAAAGATAGAAAATTCGAAGTCATTGGACTTTGATTTTCTCTCTTTTAACGACCGCTTGATCCGCCAGCTTATCGAGATTACTTCGCGAAGAGGAAGAAGCCGAAGAGGAAAAGAAGAATAAGAAGAAGTATTCTTCTTCGTGAATCACACACACACACACACACACACACAAGACGCGCTTATAGGTCGGAGATGCATCGACGTTGCGTTTCGACGTCGCCCGGCCAGTGAGTCGACGGACGGACGATTCTCATTAATTATCGGGCGGATTTTGAGGCCCGTCGTGCCTCGTTAGGCCCACCGCCGCGCGATCAATCTCGAGCGGGTCCGTCGCGTAACAAAGAACCGTATCGCGCGAGCGGAGAAAGAGAATGGGAAGAGGAGCGAGCCTTCCCCTGACTAAACCCTTTCAGAACACACGTGGGCGATCGTTTCAGAGAAGTAACTCCTCTCGTCGGAATGTTACAATATTCGGACAATCGTCGTCTTGCTGACACTTCACGCACACGCAAGCTTGATGTAGGCCACGCCGAAGTGGTCCAACCTGTATAATCATTGGCGAATTAACGTCGTGAAAAATCAAGGTCGCCGTCTCCCTCTTCGTTATGCCCGTCGTAGCTCGGCCGCCGTGTTTCCTCCTCAGTGTTCTCTCGAAAATATCGCGATGTGATGTCGTGATTTAGCAGATGCGCACGACCCTCCGCCTCGTTCACGCTCCCCTCTTCGAGCACAATGCCTTTATCGGCGCGATCGACCAGTCAATCAAAGAGTCGGTTCACACGGGGGATCCGTGGGACGCGTCGCGGATTGAAAACGGCGAGTTAACGAGCTCGCGAACGACGACTGTCGAGAGGCGTAGCTACTTCCGAAAGAAAAACGGAAGAGCGTTGACACGAACTCAAACGGAAAGCACGCACGATACGTATTCCCCGCTGAGATTGACGTCCGATCTCGGGAAGAAGAAGAGACGAGATCGTCTCCGAGGATATATCTCGTGGATCATTAACGGCGCTACCGGAGGAACGCTCGGACGTACAGAAGGCGGCGAGGGACCTCAGGGCGTTCACCTCTCGCTGAAGCGGCGAGGAACGGCTTCCGGTCCCCGTGATGGAGGCTAACGAACCGCGGTATCCGGTGTCGTCCGTTTACCACCGCCGAGGGTGGTCGCGCGCGTTGCTCTCATCATCGACACGTCGTGATTTGCGAAACCTAACCCCGCGGAGCCTAAACTGTCACTTTCGAATCTAGAAGAGCCATCGGTCGAGACGGGTTGCGCTGGTCAGGGGTCGATTGTCTCCGGGAGTCGAGAAAGAGATAGAGAGGAGAGGTGAGAAGGGAGGGGAGGAAGGAGGAGGATCGTAGCGTCCTTGCCCGCAGCTCCGAACTGGTTATGTCAAACAGCCGGCCGACCGGGCCTGCGTTGCGCTTAACCCGCTTTCAGATTTCCTGGCAGGATTTCGTCCCCCAAGCGCTAGCTTTTTTCGCCGGTCCTCCACTTCCGGCTGTGTATCCTCCCCCTCGTTCATTATTGCGCGTCTCCGAACTGATGAGCTGAAAGAAAGATTTTGCTGGCGCAACTAATCGTGCTGATTGGCTAAAGATGTTTCATTGTTGTAATTAGAACTTCGGTCACTGGTGTAGCTGTACTGCTGAACTTGCAGGTGTCCATACGGAGATTCAGCTAGTGTATGGGCACTTATAAGTTTGGTTACAGTAGACAAATGTGTACACCCAACAACAGTGACTGAAGTTTTCGTTGCGGCAGCAAAACATGTTCAGTTAAACCATGATTGACAGCAAAATCTTTTTTCCGTGCGCGATTACCCCGCAGGGGAAGCCATTTTTTAGGGAAAATTAAAGGACACACCGGCGTGTCTCCTTCAAAATACGCGATCCAACGGACGTATCGTTTGTCACGTTCGAGTTCGATCATTCCTTTTTCCATTCCGATCGAACGAGGAATGCTGGGGGACGTTTTTCAGGACACGTGATGCGAAACGTAAATAGAACACTGCAGCGCCTTTCGAGGGCGCACAAACGGAAACGGTAAAGATCGCCGAAATCTAATGAATTCACCGGGACTCGGAGCTGCCGATTAAAACGCGGAAACCGGTCTCGAATGTCGGGATTTTATTAAGTCCCGCGGTACGCTAATGTGCTTAATTAGACGCTATAAACTTTGAACTCGCATTTGCATAAGCTACCGGTCCCGCTTAGTATCGCCGGCATTAATCTGTTATTTATGCGCGACAAATAGAGGAGAGGTGGGTGTATCGAATCCGCGGTATTTCGCTGTGTTCCGCGTAATTAGTGATACTAATTAACGGCCGTATCCCATCCCACTGCCCTCACCTCTACTGCCGCGCGCGCGCAATTACGCCGAGGTAAACACGGTCCCCGCGGGCCCTATCTCACCGGCGAGAACGAGTACATCGCGACATTTTTCGAACGCGTGTATTAACATGTAATTCCGTTAATTCCGCGCGAGAGGAGAGGGCGGTCGGCTGAGTGTTCCGTTTAATTGATATAATCTTTCTCCGGCCGCGGTGAGATCGTGCGATATGGCAGCCGTGTTATTACCGAACGCGAGATCCGGTGCGCGGTGGCGCGTGTTTTTCAAGTCGCTAGTAGTCGAGGGTAGATCACCTGTCGTTAGCTATTAGTCAAGGAGACCTCGTAATTATTAACCACTGAGGCCATTAGGCATTTAAGGAAGCGCGTCGCCTAGAGCTAAGTCTCCGTTCTCCGCCGTCGATCCTCCCTCCCCTCGTGGGATTATTTTAGCGAGGCTAATGAATTTTGATAGCCGGCCTGCGTAATCGCGAGCGTGTCTGATCAGGTGGAGAGGTCTGCGTTTCATGAAACTCTCCTTCTCTCTCTCTTTTGAATGCGAAACAGTGCAATTACGGTAAAAAACGCGACGTTTAAGTGGAGCGTGACGTATGTCAAATAGGCAAGCTGAATTTAATTCCCTAATTATTGGGTTGTAATGTCTCTCGGCGGGCAGAAGGGAAGGGGGACGAAACGGTATTAAATTTCACGACGCGATCGCGACGATCGTAGATTCACGTTAAAAGGGCGTCTTCACGGGTTGGTCGTGTGAGCGTCGACGTTTCTAAAGGTCGCGACTCTTCGCTAATTCCTCTCGACTTTCGCGAGCGCCAAAGCGGATTCCAAGCGGAATCATGTAACATGTATACATGTATACATGTATACATTAGTTAATATACATTAACATGTATAAACGAGAAAGCGCGAATCTTAAGGTAAAAGTACCAATGCCCGGACATATACCTAAACCTGGATATTTTTATTATTTTAATCTTTAAATACGAATATTTAAGTTTTCAATATAGAATAAATGTATGTATTAAATGTGTATATATATATATATTCATAGTCAAAAGTTTAAATATTCGTACACTGAAAGAAGATTTAGTAATAAGTAACAAAATTTGCCGACCAAATATTTGATTACTGCAATCAAATAATTTAGTCCCGTATATTATGTATACAGTACTGTAGTTCTGCTTATATTCAATACACTAGATTATTTAGTTGCAGCAATCAAATATTTGGTCGGTAAATATTCACCAATTTTTAATACTTATTACCAAGTCCTTTTTTCAGTGTAATTAGAAACCGAAATAGTAAGAATATCCAGATTTAGGTGCGTGTCCGGATATTGATATTTTTACATTATACGAAATATCTCGACTGGATAAGCGAGACCGAAGTAGGATGTCGTTTCATAAGGTCCGTCCTCTTCTCTGTTACAGGAAGACGTTCTTTCACAAGCTAGATGATGTTCGCCAGGCTCTGCAGACAAGTTCCAAATGGTGAGTGATCTTCCGATAAAATCAATTCATTCTAATGTATGAATATGTCAAGTTGGATGTGGTCAATATGATCTGAGTGAATGAATGAGCTTTGCTCGAATTTAAGTGAACATTGTCCGTGAAATTCAAATTGTCGGGTCACGTGTGTCCGGTTTTAATTCCATCGTTCCGCAGTAATTAATGCAACCGTAGCCCTTTATCTCGCGATTTCGTACTTGAAGGAGGCGGCAAGGCCCGCTCTTTCCGAGGGGAGCGATCCCCTGTGATCCTCCGCGAAGCGTTCTTCCTCACTAATGTCTTTTTTCTGCGAGGACATCGAATGCACTCGGTCCGCTTTGCCACCTTTCTTTATTCCGAAGAAGTGCACGCGCATTGCGGAGAGCCAGCGTCCGCACAGCGTCGCTTTGTTCCCTCTTCATCTTCGAGCACATCGTCGCGCCAGTGGCTCTCAGTTTCCGTTCGCGTCTCTAAATCTCGCTGATAATACCGATGTCGTTATTCTCCATTAGAATTATCATGGAAAATTGTTACAATATGTCATAGAGAGAGTATCATTTTATTGTGGTGATGTCCTTAAGAAAGAGTATTGATTACTTGTATCAGTAACCGACGAATGTTTCAACAATTAACTGATAATGCTGTATCAGTTCGCGTCAGTAACTGAGTAATAGAATATCACCAGTTAATTTCAACATTTATCAATTACTGATGCACCTTAGTATAAGTACTTTTTCTCACACTCGTAAATGTGCCTGCACCATTCGGAGAAACTCTTCGCGCTCCAAACGCTGCTCCATAAGGACCCGAAACGAGGCGATATGAACGGCAGAACGGAACGCAGCATCCCTCGCAGTCCATGGCGACTGAGGACCGAGGCAACGACCGGCAGTTCTAGCCGATCGTCGATCCATTAACGAAGCCATCTTACCGGAATGGATATTTCCCCGGTTGCTGGCTATTAATGTTCACGGTTCTGGCGATCGAGATTGGGGCGTTTCGTAGGAATGCTGTCTCTCTCTCTCTCTTTCTCTCTCTCTCTCTTTCCCCTCTCTCATTCTCTTCTCGTTTCTTCCTTCTATCTTTTTCTCTGTATCGTAATAACTCCATTACAACCAACTGGGCCTGCGGTATTAATTTCTCATTTTCATCCCGTCGCGACTACCGTCTCGACTTCTATTTCGAGGATCCGAAGAGCATCTTATCGGCACTTGGTATTATCGCGACACCTCCGAGACTCTCGGCGCATTCGCACCGTCGTTTATGCGGCTCAATGATAGAGATGAATTTTGCAGTCGAGGGATAGTTTGATATCATCCTCTTGTATCGATCATATCATAAGAAATTGCATATTTGCTGTACGGAGAAAATAAATTTTGTTAGAACAGAAAATGTTTATCAATTGCTATTTGCTGGATATATGGACATTAATATTCTTAACAAATCCTTCTGCTGTCCAAATAAATGTGTTTTGCTGTCATTATATATTGATAAACATTTGTTGTTCTAACAAAATTTGTCTTCTCCGTGTGAATGGCAGAATTTCGAAATCTCTGAAGAGTTATAAAAATAAAATTGGTAAAATAGTTGTATGATGGGGAAATTACATTCCTTCGGACGATGAATATATTTCGGATCGAACGTATTTTTATGTCCACTTAAACTTAGATTAATCTTAAAAATCCGTAGTTATTTTTGAGATAAATAATAATTTTGTTTATTATTAATTACCGGGTATTTTCTTTCCCTCGTCTCTTTTTGGAAATCAATTTGCAAAACAATCGAATGAGCGATTGACATGAAATAGAAGTCGCAAGTCTTCGATCGAAGAAAAGCATCTCTCGTGGGACGACGCGGCTTTTGAGCGAAACGCCGAGTTTTCGACAGAAATGGGGAAACGATCGCCGCCGATATCCCTCGACGGGAGAAGAAATCCTCGGGATGCGAGTTCGCGTGTCGAGGTCTTGGTCCAGCGTAAAGGCGTGGGAACGGGAACGTCCTCCGTGCTTTAAAGCCGCGAATTAACTCCTTTTTGTTTCTCGCGCCGCGGCGCGGATTTTCGACGTCGAAATTGCCCAGCCACCAACTCGGGGGTCCTCGTAACGAGACCTTTTCGGTCACCTGTTATGCGCCCGTTCTTTCGGTTCGGGAGAAAAAAAAAACTCGTGAGAACCACGATACGAAAAATATCTCCCGTTGTTCGATTTTACGAGTATGTGTCCCGTTATTTTCACACAAAGCAAAAAGAAAATCGCTGATCTGTCTGCTCGTCGGTGATTCGACTAGCGAAAGATTTCACGACACTGTTTCTTTCTTTTTTGTACTAATCACTCGTAGGTAACTCGAAGGCCCAATGCTGCGACGATTTCGATATCGAGACCGTTTCCAGAACATTTCCAACTGCAGTTAAGCGTACACTCGTCCGAGGAACGTGGCGCACATGTTGGCTGATAAAAAAAATGTTTATTAAGCTCGGCTTAATTAACGAGCCCCCTCGAAAGCGGCGGAGTCGTTCGCCTCTTAATCGCGCCGTTAGATATACTCATGAAACTCTAACGCTTAATTCCGCGCATCGGAATTAATGTCCCAATTAATGACTTCATCATGGCGACACACCGGGCCCCATCGGAGAAATTATGAGCCAGCGAAGATGTGCGTGGCGTACGGGTGAGATAAACGATCAAATTGAAATGGGATAAAATTATTACACCGCCCATGCGTTTGTTTAAGAAGGACATTACGTAACAGAGATTGTTCACATTTTCTATCTCGTGGTAGAGATCGTGCAACGTCTCTCTTCTCCTCTCGACGTTGTAAACGTGCGACTTCCAACGTAGACTCGCTTAACTCGGCGAAGTTTCGACTTAACGGACTCCATCGGCCGCCTTCAACGGCTCGTTTCTCATGGGGCCGAAAAATGACCCCCTCGCCCTCCGCCTCCGCCGTTTTTCGTTGACCCCACTACACTCGCGCGCTACCCGCCGAGGTAAAAAGGACATGAAAAAGGGGGGTTTGACCTCAGCGAGAGGAATCGAGTGGGAAGCGACTCTTAAGGACGTCGGCGCCGCTTAATTAGCATGATAATTAGTTGCGCGAGTCCCGCGGCGCGAACGACGAGGATGCGCCTCGCTTAGGTGCACGACGAACGGCACGACGTTGCTTTACTCGCGCATCCTCGGCACTGCTAGGTGATCGATTCTCGCGACGTGATCGCCATTAATTTATTTTATCGGTGATTAGTCTCGACTCATCAATTGCTCGTGATCTAGTAATTAATTAAATCGGCTGTGACGAACAAAGTTGCGTTTTTTGCCATTAATCAGAGTTAATAAAAAAATTATATTTTATAACAATTTAGGAAGAAAAAATATTATGATCTACTGGTAAATATATATTATTATAAATATATATATCCTAACATGTTTAATCAAAATGAGTGAAAGTTCTCTTTTCAACGCGAGACCGCTCGCATTATCCGTTCGTCGGACGATAAAGCAAGGAAACTCATTTTGTCGATCTCATCGGATAAATTTAAATTTTGTTTCGCGGGGGGTACGGGTAATGAGATAAACGGCTAACAGACTTTTAATCTCAAACGATCAGAAACGAGATAGACTGGCCGGTTTGATCGGTAACACGAGTAACACCGAAACCAAGTACGCACGGTCGTTAGGATGCACGATCGAGTTAGGTGTTTAACGATACCGTAAAATCGTTAGGCCGCTCATTAACAGCCTCGCCTAACGCACACGCCGTTTCTTTTTCTTCAGGGAAGCACGACGATCTCCGGATAAGAGAGCGATGCTTTACGATCTCTGTCGCGTTTTCCCGTTTCTCGTCTCGACTGAAATCTCAGATTAGAGGAATACCCAGCATCCCGTTGAAATAGAGGGAGATTTAAGAACGATAAAGACGCGTCGTTATCGGAGCGTTTCTTCGGTCTCTTTCTCTCTCACACACACTATAGGGTTTTCATACCATGATACACGTACTTAAAATTTGCCTCGCGGGGAAAATAAACTTTCCACCTCTTTGTCTCTCTTCGGTCTTTCCTATCTACTCGTTGATTGGCGCACACGAGACGTTCGTGGCTAATGAAATTTAATTACCGACGCACGCGGTCTCTTCTCTCTCTTATTCGCCGGCTTCGAACTTTTGACGCCGAAGGTAATTACTTTCCGTCGTACGAGCTTAGACAATTATCTGGATTTTTATCGCAACGCACACGACGTTCTTCGATTTTCCAGACGCGAAAAGACAGGCCGATGGTCGATCGTCGTGATACTCGGCCGTCGATAGTATCGCGAGCATGCGCGGCGTTACGTCGGCAGAAGGACGCCGCGGGACGTCTCGCGGCGCGAGACGAAGAGCATTGTCCGCGCAGCGGGACGCGATGTTTAAGGGGCGCCCGGGGCGAGGTGCGTCTCAAATTGATTTGTTGTAAGCGATACGCCACCCCCGGCGAGCGAATGGCACAATAATTGGCTACATAAACAATGACCGACGAAACGATCTCTCACCCGTCGCGGTGCCGTCCCTTAAACGCCGTTATCCCGCGACAATGTGGGACAACGCGAACGGAGCTTCCTGCGAGGTATATGCGCGTGTAAATTTCGGATTTTTCAAAGGTGCACGGTAGATGCGAGCAGTCGCGTGGAAAAAAAGAGCTCCCGCAAGTAAAAATGAGCAAAAACGCACCGACATAGAGAAAGGAAGAAGAGGTGGCCACCGATCGCGCGGGGTATATCGCGGACGTTCATGCGAACCACAATGAACATGTATCAAATTTATGGCGCACGGTTGTGTGGTACCCCGCGCGGTTCCGCCCACTCACACTCGTGTGCACGACCGTGATTTATGTCGCTCGTAAAGCAGTCTATACGCGAGCTGAGAGAGGGAGGCGGACAATTGCAGGAGAAAAAGAAAATTATCTTACATTTTCCCGACTTAATTCCGGGATTTCGAGTCCAATCGCTTCTTAATTACCATTCCGAAAGTAACCG